TATCAACTGAAATCCAGTTTAGCCAATATCAAGCAACATGGAGATAGTGTTGGTGATTATTACACCAAACTCAGGGTTGTATGGGACGATCTGGAAGGCAGCAAAACCAAGTCTTGCGATTGTGGTGATAAGTGTGCCATTGCCAAAGCAATCGAGGAGGAGCAAAAGCATGATCGCGTTTATCAATTTTTGATGGGGCTGGATGAATCTACATTTGGCAATCTGAGATCCCATATCCTCAACACTTCTCCTCTTCCTAGTGTCAACAAAGTGTACGCAATTGTCACTCAAGAGCAGACCCATCGTAGTATTTCTCGCGTTCAAGATGAGAGGAGTCAGGTAGTGGGATACTCAGCCCAAACCGATTCCATGAAGCAGTCAGACACGTCCATGCAGCAGCGGATGGTTCCTAACAAACCACAAGACAAAATACCTTGCCCTCATTGTGGCAGGACCAATCACGACCCTTCCAAATGCTGGAACGTTCATGGTTTTCCACCAACAGGAGTTCTGATCGCGGACGAGGAAGGGGAGGACGTTCGGCAGGACGTTATACACATGCTCATGACGTTTGCAATGGATGCCTCACACCCAGTTGCTGCTAACTCTCTTCCACCAGACGTCTCCCATTCTGCCTCTTCTCAAGTTGCTGCACACTCCGTTTTGACCCCAGAAATTGTGAACAAACTGTTATCATTGGTAGACCAGCCTCAGTCACATGAAAAATTATCTGGTACGCGTATTCATTCTCAATGGCTCATTGATAGTGGGGCCTCACGTCATATGACAGGCACTTTGGCTTTATTAGCTGACATTACACCTATTCCCCCTCTATCTGTGACTCTACCAAATGGTTCTATTACTTATGCTGCAAAACAAGGCTCGATGGTGTTTAATACAAACTTCAGCTTGTCAAATGTTTTATATGTGCCTAACTTACGCTGCAATCTCATCTCTGTTTCCCAATTGCTTCACTCCAAGAGTTGTAGCGTTACATTTACTGATAAAAAGTGCATTTTGCAGGACCAAGTGCTGAAGAGGGAGATTGGTTTGGGTGAACTTCATGAAGGAGTCTATGTGTTAGCCTTCATGTGCTTCAGCTTCGGCAGTTCAAGCAGGAGAGTCAATTGACTTGTGGCACAACAGGCTAGGCCATGCATCCTATGATATCTTATCTCTGGTTCCAGAATTTAAAGCTTTGCAAAATAAAGTAGTATGTAAGGCATGTGAAGTTTGTCATCGTGCCAAGCAAACTAGATCAATGTTTCCTATAATTTTTTCTCGCAGCAAAGAATGTTTTGATTTAATCCATTGTGACACTTGGGGTCCTTATCAAAATTCTTCTTCTGGTGCACGTTATTTCTTAACTGTGGTGGATGACTATAGTAGGCATGTATGGGTTTTTATGTTGGCCGATAAAAGTGAAACTTATGATCGGATGTGCAAATTTCTTGCTATGGTTCTGAACCAATTTGGTAAAACCGTAAAAATAATAAGGTCTGATAATGGTACTGAGTTCAAATCTAATAACATGGTGAAACTCTTGAATGAAAAAGGTATTTTGCAACAAACAACTTGTGTTTATACGCCTGAACAGAATGAGAGAGTCGAAAGGAGGCATAGACACATCCTTAATGTATCACGTGCCTTACTGTTTCATGCAAATCTCCCTGTTGATTTTTGGGAGGAGAGTATTCTTGTTGCTGTTCATATAATTAATAAAACACCTACAAGAGTTCTCCAAGGCAGGTCACCACATGAAGAATTGCATGGAGTTAAACCAGATTATACATACTTGCGCACGTTCTTTGCTCTGTCATTTGCTAATACAAGACCGAAACCAACTGACAAGTTTGCTCCACGTTCGCGACGATGTGTTTTCATCGGATATGCAATAGGGCAGAAAGGTTGAAGATTGTTTGATATAGAAGCGCAACAAAGCTTTGTGTCCAGGGATGTAAAATTTTTTGAAAATATTTTTCCTTTTCGCGAAGCTCCAGTACAATCTGTTTCTGCACCAAATTCTCGTGTGCCTACAGAGCCAAATTACTTTGACGAAGGCCAAATTGTCCATGACGGTTCTGATGCATCAAATGACAGCCCAATGCCTAGTGGATCATGTGTTCCTCTGGACGATAGGGGGAGTGTTTCGCTGGAAGCAACACCAACTAACGAAGTTGCCGCTAGGGAGTCCTCCTTACTAGAAAGAAGTTCGAGTTCTAGTGATGCATCAACCCAACAGCAGTTGCTGGAAGCAAATCTGCGTCAAACAGTCACACGTCAGCACCGTACCAGGAAGCAACCATCTTATTTGCAGGACTATGCATGTCAAGTAGCTGAAACACACACTCCTTCATCTCTCCCTACTCAAACCAATGTCACCTCAGGTACTCGGTATCCTATGTGCAATTATCTTAGCCTCACTAACTTTTCTAAGCAACATCAAGATTTTGTTGCAGCTATTGACACAGGTCATGAACCACGTACATTTCAAGATGCTATGAGAGACTCCCGATGGGTGGAAGCCATGAGGGCTGAAATCACAGCCTTAGAAGACAACCATACATGGTGCCTCACGGATTTACCTCCAGGGAAGCGTGCTCTTCCAAGCAAGTGGGTGTTTAAAATAAAATATCGTTCTGATGGAACGGTGGAACGGTATAAGGCAAGATTGGTGATTGCAGGTAATTATCAGATTGCCGGAGAAGATTACAGTGAGACTTATGCACCAGTGGCAAAGATGGTGAGTGTACGTACATTGCTTGCAGTGGCTGCAACAAGAAACTGGGAGTTGCACCAGCTTGATGTTCATAACGCATTCTTGAATGGAGAAATAAGTGAGGAAGTTTACATGAGATTCCCCCTGGATTCAGTACTGGGTCTAAGCATAAAGTATGTCGTCTTACAAAGTCATTGTATGGTTTGCGCCAATCACCCCGAAACTGGTTTTCCAAACTCAGCAGTTCGTTGACGGCATATGGATTTGTTCAGTCAAAAGCTGATTACACGCTCTTTACTATGCAAAAAGGGGAGGTGTCTCTTGCACTTTTAGTTTATGTCGACGACATCATCTTAGCAGGTAATAATTCACATGCTTGTCTTGCAGTCAAGGAGTATCTGAATCAGTGTTTTAAAATAAAAGACCTGGGTAGTCTGAAATATTTTTTGGGTATTTAAATTGCCCGCAGCAAGAAAGGAATATTTTTATGTCAGCGTAAGTATGCCCTGGATATTCTTTCTGATTCCGGGCTCAGTGGATGTAAACCGGCGATTTCCCCCATAGAATAAAATCATCGTCTTGCCTTGGATGACAGACCAGTATATGAGAACCCTGAACGGTATAGAAGACTCATTGGTAAGTTGATTTAACTCACTATCACAAGACCCAACCTGAGCTATGTTGTTCATATCCTTTCTCAATTCATGCATTCACTGCGCCTAGCTCATTATGAGGCTGTTCTCCGGGTTATTCGATATGTAAAGAGAGATCCTGGTCAAGGACTTCTCCTCAAATCGGATTGTGACCTAAAAATTCATGCCTATTGTGATTCGGATTGGGCTTCATGTCCTCTTACCAGACAATCTCTCACTGGTTTCTTTATTATGTTGGGTTCTTCACCCGTATCCTGGAAGACCAAGAAACAAGTAACGGTGTCTCGCTCTTCTGCAGAAGCAGAGTATAGACCAATGGTTGCAGCTACAACAGAGATTGTGTGGCTCAAGTCATTTCTCACCTCTCTTGGGGTCACTCACTCAAGTCCTATGGAATTGTTTTGTGATAACCAAGCTGCTTTACACATTGCAGCGAATCCGGTGTTTCACGAGCGTACCAAGCATATTGAGTTAGATTGCCACTTTGTACGTGAACATATTCTAGCCAAGCATATTACAACAGCTCATGTGCCTTCTCGTTCCCAACTTGCTGATTTGTTTACTAAAGCCTTGGGACAACGCGAGCTTCTTAGTTTTCTTCCCAAGTTGGGCATTTCATCCTTACATACTCCAACTTGAGGGGGAGTGTTGGAGATTATATGTAACAGTATATTGTTTGAATTCTTTGTAACATATATTGTTTGAATTCTTTGTAACCGTAGGTTTGAATTCTTTGTAACGTATATTGTTTGAATTCAATTCTTTGTAACCGTAAGTCTGAATTCTTTGTAACGTATATTGTTTGAATTCTTTGTAACCGTAGGACTGTTTAGATAGAGTATTTATTTGTTTTAGTCTGTTATGTTGTTACCATTTATTGTATGTTCGCCTATTTGAAGGCTACCAATGAATGAGATAAACACACAGTTGAAATATCAAGTTTATCTTATGCCTCCTCGATGGAAGAAGAGGGGTTTCTATATGAGTGAATCATAAACCCTAATGTGGTAAGAGAAAAGGAGCCTTACCATTTCTTGTAGTGAGGCCATTCCGTATTGTATTGAGCTGTGAAAATTGCTAGTAAGTAAATATTTCGCAACAGTTCATAACCAATTGCTTAGTTTCAAATCTGAAGCCCAAACAAATGAGCCAATTAACGATTCACCACAATTGGTTTTTTTTTTTTCTTCTTCTTGTTTCTACACCCGTGATTTATTTCGTACATAACTGCATTTGAACTTTGTTCACAGGGTTGAGAGAAGTTGTTTGGATGTTTTCCATTTGTGTAGAACATTGCCAAAGACATCGTAGAATGCTACATCAAGTTCAGTTTCAGTAACCTGCACAGACATGAATCCTTGGCCATCATAATATAACTTCATCTCTTCTATCTTCCACGAGTGTATATCACCCTTCCACGCCTTTGACCCACCACCGCTAGTCAAAAATTGAATTCCACTGAAATTCATGTATATATTTGAGGATTAAATTCAATTTTCACTATATAATTTTGCTTGATTTCAATGTGTTACTTCATCTCTTGTGTGATTAATTTCTTTAGTTATTTAGTTATCATATCTATCCTTCTTCTTCTTTTTTATCCTTCACTTTCATTTGAAATGATCCGTGAAAAGCATGTATATGTGATACTTGAATATTAACAAACCTGTCAAGACTGCTTATGTGCTCTAGGCAGTGATCGTGTCCATTTATGTAAAGATCAATGTTGTTTGCCTGAAAATCAAGTTGGAAGTTAGTATAGCCTTATAATATTCAACGAAACCCATAAATAAATAAACCCATTCAAGGTCATTTTTTTAAGGCATAATCTGCAAGACTGTAACCCATTTTTAAATATATAAACCATTAAAAAAAATTCATTTCTTTTGCAGTAATTGAAATTTGGGAGTGTGCAGAGATTTGTGACAACTGAAGGAGCTTCAAACTTGGAGAACAAGGCCAAAAAAATTCGATATTTTGCAAATGAATTGAGATATCTCTAAATTATTCGAATATAATTTATTAAATATTCAATGAAGTCTGTTTATTTTACTATATAAATACATATTTCTCATGTTGTAGGAGATAATTTTATCTCCTACACACACATAAAAGTATATGGAGTTTTTCTTTTTCTCTCTTCTCTTCACATGGTCTCACACTTTTATGTGTATGTTGAAAATAAAATTATCTCTTACAACATGAAAAATATTAATTCATAAATAAATTTAAATTTAAATTTAAAATCCTGTAATATATATATATATATATATATATATATATATATATATAGGTTATAATAATATATTACTTTTATTACTCAATTAATTATAATGTGATTTGACTCGAGTCATTTATTCTCTAAACATAATCTTGTGAATGATATAATTTATTCAACCCCTTCTTGATTTGCAAAAATGCCTCTTATTTAAAATATGAAAATAGTGTTTACCAAAAAATATATATATATATATATAAAATATGAAAACAGTAAAGTTACCTCAAGAATTGGGAGAAGCTGCTTTACAAGCTCTACCGTATTACCGTGATGCCCAGCACTTCGAATTGTATGGTGACCAACCACAATCTTCCACTTTGCATGTGATTGTTTTAAAGCCAAATCCACATCCTGTTGAAATTAAATGCACAATAATTAGCCAATCAACATATAAAACATGAAGGTTAGCACTATATACAACTTACAAATGCTTCATATCCGAGGGTTTTACGTTTTGTTTTTTATTTTTGGAAGTTATACAGTACTGTTCATGGTTTGTGGAATTTTTTTATTTTTAATTTTTTTTTAATTTTTAGTAAGGTTTTACATTACCATTCCGAGAAATGATTAGTGGTTCAAACCTTGAGGAGGTTGGAAATGTATTGTCTTCTAGGCAATACGCCTCTCCAATCATAAACATGATCCTTGGGTTCTGTAAAGTATTTGTCCACAAACGGAGTAGTATCTACGAAGAAAAACTCTACAACTTCTGAAACAAAACAAGTGACAATTACATCAATTCGTTAGTATTCACATATAATATTTTATGCTCTCTAGGTCGAAATTAAGAAGGAAAAAAAATCAAGCTTCTTTTCACCTGCATTGACAATATAAGATCTCATGCAAAACCATCTCTTGTCAAGTTTTGTGAGGACAGGACTCAGCTGTGCCTCAGCATCACCCCTATAGTCATGGTTGCCCAAAACTGCAGAACCACAATATTAAAGAATTTCCAAAAATAAAATAAAATGAGACTTTAAAATATAGGTCACAGTCACAGCCCTTTTGTTTTTAGTTACAAAAAATAAAAAAACATTCCTTTCATGAGTCTACTCCCCTGTTCTTAGATGCATATGAATTTAAGTTTAATGAATTAGAACTTTTACCATTGTACCATTGCTTCTGCAAGCTGGGAGCAGTATAGATTTTGGTGAATGACTCGTCAAAGGCTGGATCATTTATGCCTGTCAAGCCATCCTCGTAAAAATTATCGCCGGTGGAAATCACAAAATCGATGTCCAATTGCTTTCCAATAACAGCCATCTAGTAAAACTAAATTCATTAGTTTCAAGAATAAATTATTGGAACTGAGGCAAAAAGACAAGAGAAATTAACCATTATTTGTAGAGATACGGCACTACAAATTCTTTAATTATATCTATTGAGAGGGAAATTGATCAAGTTGCCACCCACAATGTCATGTTGTTTAAAAATTTTGCCAAAATGCTACAGCACCAAACTGATAGCGAGTTTGAGTGTGCCACGTGGCACATTTTCTAATGCCAGCAAACTCGTTGTCAGTGGCAGCGAGTTTAATGGTCAAATGAGTCAGGTTGCTTTCTAAAGTAGAGACATGTGGAAGGCAGCCTGAAACTCGCTGTCAGTGGCGTGTCAAACTGAAACTCGCTGCCACTGATAGCAAGTTTTGTGCTGCCTAAAACACGTCATAAATCCGCCAGTACTCCTATATCAGGTTTCAACCTATAAAAAACCCCCACCCCACTCCCTCATTCACAACATCCCTCCGTTGAAACTATAGAAGCTTTCATTTGTCCCTGTTGGAAAGAGTATCTTTATTATTTGTAATGATTTATTTCCTTATTTCAATAGGATTCAGGTTAGGTGTGGGCTAAGCCCATTAGTGTTTCTTTATATATTGTACTTTCCTGAATCAATTCAATATACAGATTTATTTCAATGTTCCTCTCGTCTCTTGTTATTTTACATGGTATCTAGAGCCTAACGAGAGGAATCATTGTCCGTCTTTCCTTACTCTTTTTCATAATTTTAATATTGTAGTAGAGAGATATCACCCTCCGTGAGGGATTGGCTTTCCCGTCTGTTCCCCTTCTCTTTCTCTCTCTGCTTCTTTTAGTTTCTTCTTCATGTTCCTGTCTTCCATCAAAGACCCAACCACCATAAACAACTAGCACCGGCCAGAACCATCCCTGCCTCTGCACAGCAGCAGTTCTCGTCGTCCATGTTCATCTGGTCACCGCCACAGTGCACCGCCGGAATTTTGTCCAACGACTTTTCGGCCGCCAACCACCCTTGATCAGATTGTCTTCCCCGTGCGCTCACCGTCGTTCAAGTCGCGTCTCTTTCCTCAAGCCGCATCATCTTTTCTTCTCCTACCGAATCTTGTTTCTTCCGGCTGTGTTTTCTTCTTTTTCGGTGATTTATTGTTTTTATTTTGAATTTCTTTTATGGCTTGTATTTGGCCAATTTTATTTTATTCCCAGATATGTTTGTGATGTTATTCAAGTCTAATTTGGCTTGTATTTAATATACAGATTTATTTCAATGTTCTTCTCGTCTCTTGTTATTTTATAGTCCCCATTCGAAACATCCCCCTGTTTTTGTCAATGATAATAGTGATTCGATAATTTCCACTATGTACTACAATAGGAGGAGATATTTTGGTCTTAACGGTCAAATATTTTAAGGAGATATGAAAATGTTTTGCAGGAGCCTTCGATGTACTTATAATTATATGAAGAAGACAATATATAAGTTGAAATTACAATGGGGTCAATCTCTATCTTGGTTGAAACGCGAAGTCCAAACGTGAAGTTATGCATAACTCTAAATACATACCTAACTTCTTCAGTTGCTTCTTCAACATTATATTTTGAACTTGTGATTGAAATTATTGTCAAGATGTCCAATATAGAACCCCTGGTATGCTTGAGGTGGTTGCTAACCTTGTGCCGCATTGCTGATTGCAGACAATATCGCCGCACGTCGATCAAAAATAAGATAGATGTCTTCTTTTAGTGTCTCATGAATCTGAGTCAATGCCAAATACTCGGACCAACCATCAAGATTCTCCTCGAAAACAATGGCGAACACAATCGACAACACGTAATTATTGTCATCCACAGTTGTAGCAATTAATAGCATCCCTCAATATTTCCCATATAAGTGGGTACCATCTACCTGTATAAACGGCTTGCCATAATTATAAGGCATCACAACACTGTTTGAATGTCCAAAATACCCTGTGGAACACTTTTCGAGTTCGTTCCAACTGGTTATCAACAAAATGATCATTCAGATCCAGCTTATAAACAACTGCTAGGGAAAAGAGCAACATGTAACCTACCATTTTGACAGAAACACATAAGACTCATCTCAATCTCCATAAATTTTAACAATTGCCTTTAGTTTTGCCTTTAACGCTTTCCAGTATGATATATGAAACCCACGACTTGTTATAATTTCGTGGATTAGAGCAATTTTAACATTGGGCTCCTCCCTTATCATTTTTGCATGCCAACAAAAAATTATGTATTAATAAGTAAGACGTACATATTATTAAAATTAGATATTTGTCATTCATTTTTACATGTGCCCTCACCCTCCACAGATAGTCATCCTTGTGATTTTCACATACCATGATCAATCTTGTGGTATCAATTTTTGCTAAATATCTGCGATAGTCCGTCATACAAAATTGTTTTATTGCCATCTACACATCGTGCTTGCAATCAAACACCTTGTCCTTATACAACTCTTGATCCATCTGCCAATTAGGTGTAAAACCTTGCATAATTAATTTATAGAGTATGTCACATTTCTTATTTTCTTCCTTAAAATTATTTTAACAAAAAGAGTTTGGTTAACACAGTATGTTTGTTAACCCATTTGCCGATAACCCAGTTAGTGTCTCCTTTTTTTACATGTGCCCTCACCCTTCACAGATAGTCGTCCTTGTGATTTTCACATACCATGATCAATCTTGTGGTATCAATTTTTGCTAAATATCTGCGATAGTCCGTCATACAAAATTGTTTTATTGCCATCTACACATCGTGCTTGCAATCAAACACCTTGTCCTTATACAACTCTTGATCCATCTGCCAATTAGGTGTAAAACCTTGCATAATTAATTTATAGAGTATGTCACATTTCTTATTTTCTTCCTTAAAATTATTTTAACAAAAAGAGTTTGGTTAACACAGTATGTTTGTTAACCCATTTGCCGATAACCCAGTTAGTGTCTCCTTTTTTTACATGTGCCCTCACCCTCCACAGATAGTCGTCCTTGTGATTTTCACATACCATGATCAATCTTGTGGTATCAATTTTTGCTAAATATCTGCGATAGTCCGTCATACAAAATTGTTTTATTGCCATCTACACATCGTGCTTGCAATCAAACACCTTGTCCTTATACAACTCTTGATCCATCTGCCAATTAGGTGTAAAACCTTGCATAATTAATTTATAGAGTATGTCACATTTCTTCCTTAAAATTATTTTACTTAATATTAAAATAAAAAGATTAGAAGTAGCCTAAGGATTAATTTTTCCAAATAATAATTCATAGTCCTATAACAAATGCGCTCACACATATAGGATGCAAAAAACTATAGTTAAAAATCAGTGGCTTGGAGGCCTAAAGTAATCAACAATACATAAAGTGAGGGATTTTTGTACTCCTACATCAATATTTACAACTCAAAAGGATAATAGGAGCATAAATCCTCCAAAAGTCGTTTACATCTACATATCTAAGCAAACATATAGAGGTGTAGATGTGCCTCAGTTAGATCCTCGTAGATCATAATTAGCATTTGCCAACCTGCTCCACACAGATAGACCCAATCCATGTGTACTAATATGAAAATGTTAGACATCAAATAAAATCCACAAATAAGAAATATTCTCAGTAACTTTAAGAGTTATCGAACTATAACATTTACGTGGAAAATACCTTCTCATTAATGTGGCTGGAAATGTTATAGTTTGAAAACTCTTAAAGTTTCTGAGAATATTTCTCACCTATGGATTTTATTCGTTGTCTAACATTTTCATATTAGTTCTCATGGATTGGGTTTATTTGTGTGGAGCAGGTTGCAAATGCTGATTCTGATCCACGAGGATCACACTGAGGCACATCTACACCCCTATATGTTTGCTTAGATATGCAGATGTAGACGACTTTTAGAGGATTTCTACTCCTATCATCCTTTTGAGTGTAAATATTGATGTAGAAGTATGAAAATCCCTAACTTTATGTAGTGTTGATTACTTTAGGCCTATGAGCCACTAATTTTAACTGTAGTTTTTTGCATCCTATATATGTAATCTGTGTGGGCACAATTGTTATATGACTATGAATTATTATGTGAAGAAATTAATCCTTATACTACTTTTAATCTTTATATTTTAAAATTACGTAAAATATTTTTAAGGAAGAAAATAAGAAATGTGATATACTCTATAAATTAATTATGTAAGGTGTTACATTAGGTACTCGCGCTCCCTCCATTACAGGCAACTCTTGATCTGGGTATGTCCAATTAATATGCGTATAATGACTTGTTTGAGACCAAAATGGAGAACTATGATGTCATGTATATCATCACATGCGCAGGAATAAATCAATTGTGTAGTCAACAATTATCTTCAAAAAAATATAATTAATTACAGTTATTAACCTTCCACTGGCGGGTCATGCATTCCAACAATGCCCGGTTAAGGAATCGAATGACTCACAACGATAGACGGACATGAATCAAAATCACCCTCGGCGTCAGTGTCCAATGAGTCACTATCCGAAATAACACCTTCATCCACCTATTCGTCAGCCACGTCGTATCATATTCATCTTGGGCGGGAACCATTTCAATTGACATTGGTTGGGGTGACGGTAGTAGGGGCGAGACATACCATTATTCAGGATCAAAATGTTGCTCCCTATTAATGTCAATGGAGTGAATTGAAGGGAGGGAATGATGACTGCTAGATTGTTCACCAGAGTCTACTTCCGCATGCAGTTCAATAAATGTGGTACCTCACTGATTTCGAAATACATCAACTACTAACGCAACACCTTCATCCTCAACAATCTCCACGAGAACCCATTTCTCGTTACCTGAGGCACATCTAGCAGTCAACCAAGAAAGAGATTGACCTGTTGTAATCTCAACTTCTTGCATATTGTCTACTACTTATCATTATAACTACATTGGGGGCTCATGCAAAATATTTTCGTATCTCCTTTAAAAATTTGACCATTAAGACCAAAATATCTCCTCCTATTATAGTACACAATGGCAATTATCGAATCACTATTGTCACTCATTTAAAAAAAAAGGAGGAATAAATAACAATGACAAAAACATGGGGATGTTTCGAATGGGGAAAAATGAGAGCCTCTGCAATTTCAACAGAGGGATGTTGTGAATGAGGGAGCGGGGTGAGGGGTTTTTATAGGCTGAAACCTGCTAGGAGTATTGGCAAGTTTAAGCAGTTAGTGGAGGTGAGTTCTTGTTTGACACGTCAGACTGAAACTCGCTGCCACTGACAACAAGGCTGCCTGCCACGTGTCCCTGCTTCAGAAAGCAGTCTAACTCATTTGACCATCAAACTCTCTGCCATTGACAGCACATTTGGTGACCTTATCAAACCCGCTGCCACTGACAGCGAGTTTGCCGCTGTGACATTTTGGCAAAAATTTTAAACTGCGTGTGACTTTCCATAAAAAAATTTGGGAAAGTGGTGCAACTTGGTCAATAACCCTCTACTTAGACGACAAACGGATTTTGAATTCTTATTATGCGTTTGTTTTGTATTTATATTCAATCCAACAGGAAGCCTTGCATGTGTTAACTATATTGTTTAATCATAGTTTCTTCTCTAATAATCATGGTGAGTATTATATTTTTAAGAATAATATTTTTAAAAATATATGATTAAGAATAATATTTTTCTAAAATAATCCATATCATTTTCTAAGTTAACTTACAAGTTAAACTTTATAATAACTTTTTTTAAATCATTACATATTTCTACTATACTTTCTACTTAATAAGAATTTAGTTGATATGTAATCCCATAGCTTTATTATATTATTACAGAGTAATATTTATTTTGTTACATTGGAAGTGTAAAACACTATACAAGGAAGAGGGAATAAATGATCAAACTTTCAATATCATCATTAGATCTATTAAATAATAGTTTGAACAATCTAAATTGTTTTTTTGTAGATAACATAACGGTAAAAAAAAATAAACATTATCAAATAGAACACAGAGAACGTTTATTGAAATTTTTTAAAAACCATATTTATTTATGTTTTTAAAATAGATTTTACTAAATATTGTTTTTTTTTTTTCCCCTGTATACTTCAAGTTTCAAATGGAAGATACCTTCTTATTATCAAGTGGATGAACATCAGGTTAGAAGCTAATGGCAATGATTATAATTAAGTAAATTTTCTTTTTGGTTCGGTCCTATAAACGAACCAAACGAACAAATAAAGCTTTATAACATACAATAATAATAATAATCAGTTAATACAGACCTAGATGGTTCGGTCCAAATAAGAACTGAACTACATACGCGCGTGAATAGGCTGCATTATTAGCCGATTAATAATAAATTTTCTTTTTGGAGCTTGATTATTATAATTTCAAGGATAAAAAGAATGCGGGGAATCTAAAAGCAATAATAAGAACCCACTTTGCATAAAAAGGAAAAAAGCATGTGAAAGGGAAAATCATTGGCTTTTGCTAAAAGTTAGGAGTGTCTTTCCCAATATTGAAGGTGGTGGCCACTTGTTTGTTAACTATAGCAAGACTAGAGGCTTTTAATAAATTCACTATAAACGATCGATGGAGAAGTTGTAGAAGTGTACCACAGAAACATGTATTGGTTGACGTATATTTTACCTGGACAGCAACTTTAGATTGGTTGTAAGCTCCTTTTCTTCCCCAATCTCCAACCACCAAGAAGCTCAGAGACCCATCTGGTTTAGGTGCTTGCTCAAACCGCTGAAGCACTGCTGAGGAAACAGCCAAAGTCAGGGTTATGGTAGCAATGAAAACAAGCAGGCGCATGGTGACTGAGCTTTGACAGATGGAGAAAGAAAAACTTTGGGTTGAGCTCTTTTTATTTATTATTGCTTTGCCAGAGAAAGAGAAAGATAAGAAAGGACAAGAAGGGTAAGGGTAATGGTATATGCCCAATCAATTATCCATATGTACAACTGGAGAAGCCACGCCACGTGCGTGGGGTCCATTTGTTAATGAGAAATCATATCATTGGTGTGGCTTTTGCTTTAATTTTTATTTTTTTTAAAGTTCACATCTTATAAAATAAATAAATCAGGTCTTATAAATCAATAACAGATAATAAATCATCAAATTATGATAGCATAACGTTTTTCATATTATAAAAAATAATTTTATTTATTATATACATATAAAAGTATGTAAGTCTTATGGGAGCTGTGTGAAGAAAAAACAAGAACATACGAGACTCATATAATTTTATATAGGGTAGGATATTTTTACACTAGTGTAAGAGTTAGAAATCTTACACTCAATCTTGAACATTGATCCACTTATATCCAAAGGTTCACATTACTAAAAAAATTGAGCCCTTAGATATAAGTGGGATCAACGAACAAGATTGAAAGTGTAACTTACACTAGTATAAAATGATCCTGACCTTTTTTATATTTGTGTAAGAAATAAAATTATTTTCTATAACATAACAAATTTTAATCCACATAAATAATTAGATACTTGAACCTCATGCATTATAATTATATAGGATTTATATTTCTTATGTAACATAAGAAGAGACTCCTTATACTACACTTACATCATTTGTGTGCCACTATTTTTAATTTTTTTTATTTACTTTTTTCCAGTAGGGCCTACCTAAGTATGTGTGTGTTGTAAAAATTCTCTTATTATCTTGCTAAGAAGTATAAAACCCCATAGCATATATATAAAATCATCTTTTCATGTAAGTGGATCTTCTCATATATTAATTAACATAATCATGTCGTGTGAGATAATTTTAACCATACAAGAATGAATCAATAGTGATAAGAAAAGAGAAAAAATATATAAATATTGAAAGTTATAAAATCTTCACCATTAATTTGATTATTAATGATTAAGTTTCTTTCACATAACACAATTTTGTTAAATGACACATGAGAGGTCTATTTTCTCTTTTCATATACAAATCTTAGAAAACTACAAATCATGGTAGCATATAAATTGAACAATAGAAATCATTAACTTTTTTTTAAAAAAAAATTCAAAACATTTTTTATTCTTTTTCATTTCTTTTTTGAGATGAAGAATCCATTATTAACTTAAGGAAAAGTAGTAGCATTGTTTTTTTTTTTTTTCTCAAGCAACTTCTTGCCCATGAAATTTAGAACTTATTTGGATGAGGTTTTAAAAAATAGAATTTTTATGCCCTATTTTTTATAAGGATTTTTTAAAATATAAAATTATTTTATATTTAAATGTAGGGTTTAATGTATCTCTAGTCAATAGAGATAACTTATTTTCAGTGAGCCTAAAACGATGTCATTTTGAGATTGAGAAAAATATTTTTTTGTAATTCTAATTTATTTTAGATTATATTAATCTTTATCATTATAATTTTTAAATTTTCTAGTCCAAAAATAACATTATTTTGGGTTCACTAGAGATAATTTTATCTTCCATAATTAGAGAAATATTAAACCCTTAAATATAATATGTAAAATCCACTTTTAGTTAAAAATATTATTTGAGTATTAAAATTTAAAATAATTTTATGTATAAAATCATTAAAAAAAACACATAACAATAAACTTTGGAAGAAGTTTTTGGTGGTGGCGATGTTAGTGACGATGATGAAGATGATTGCATGGTGGGGATTAAGGGTGTGACAGGATGATGAGGGTAGCGGTGACACCAATGAGGATTGAAACCAGAGTAAATTTGAATTTTAAAAAACTATTTGACTTTTGAATTTTTGAAGTTAAAAATGTTTGGTAAAAAAAAAAAGACGATTATATTTATCATCATTTTAGTTTTACCACTTGCTTAGTTATTGTTGGATTAAGTTGAAATCAATGGTTGAAAAAGAAAAAAATTTATTATTGTTTATTTAAAATTAATCCAACGATAATTAAACAGATAGTAGAAATTGTAAGACTAAAATAGTAGTAAATAAAATATTTCTTAAAAAGAAGAGAATTTTTTTTCTTCATATTTCCTATTTTTTAGAAAGTTAACATCTAAACATTCATTTATAGCAAGAAATATTAAAAATAAAAATAAAAATTCCAGCTTCTAAAAATTTAGAAGTCGTGTAAAGAATCTTGTAATACACAACTCCAAAAACTAGGTCAAAGGGTGAGAGTGTCCAAAGACTTATAAACTCCACATTAGTTGCTTATACAACTAATATGGGACTATATATCTCAACACGCCCCCTCACACGAGAGCCCATTGAGCTTGAAGAGTGGATGATGCAACAGGCTCAGCCTACCTGTGCTAATAAATTCCACAAGAGAAAATGAGAGGCGGTTAGGATCGAACCCGGAACACGAAGACTCTGATACCATGTAAAGAACTTTGGGATATACCACCACAAAAACTAGCTCAAAGGGTGGAAGTGCCCAAAGCCTTATAAACTCCACATTAATTGCTCGTACAACCAATGTGAGAGTATATATCTCACAATTGCTGTATCTGAATGGAAAGGGATGGGTTGGGATAAGAAAATGAAAGGCTGAAAGTGATTCTCAAATCACTGCTATCAACTGTGAATCTGTTTCCTTTCTCAAGCGAATTGATCATATTTATCACGTTTTATCCAAACAAGGATTTCCAAGATCACAACTTTGACTTTAGAGTAAATATTCTTTTTAGTCTTAACAAATTTCACGATGCCCGTTTTAGTCCCTAGCAAATAAAAAGGTCCATCGTGATTCCTAAGAAATTCAAAATGGATCCATTTAATTGAAATCGTGGTCCCTCACAAATTCAAAAAAGACTCATATTAGTCCCTAAAAAGACTAAAATGGATCCATTTTAAATTTTTTTAGGGACCACGATGGGCCTTTTTATTTGCTAGGGACTAAAGCGGGCATCATGAAATTTGCTAAGGACCAAAAAAGGTATTTACTCTTGACTTTATATGTATATTATTTGTTCACGTTACGGGCACAACAAACCCTTGCATGCTACAATGATTGGGAACAGTGACCAAAGTGCTACTGTTGGCAAAAAAAAGTATTAGACTGTTATGCTAATAGTAAATTTTGTCAAAATATCACGTGGCATATTTCGCTACAGTATAGCGAATTATTTGCACACATATTTCACTACACTGTGTAGCAAAATATGCCACGTGATATTTTGACAAAATTTACTGTTGACATAGCAGTCTGGTAATTTTTTTTTTGCTAAAAGTGACAAAATAGTCACTGTTCGCAATGATTGCAGCCAATTAGTGGCCTGCTGGTCCCTCTAAAATTTTGTCCAACCTTTTTTTTTTTTAACCACAAACAACTTTTATTGGTAAATTTGTCCAGACTTTTTAATATCTTAGGTAGTGTTTGGTAGAAGATTTATTTTGGCATTGATGAAAAAGTGTAAGTGAATATTGAAAAATACCACATTTGGTTCAGGTTTTTGAAAAAAATACTAGGCAAATAGGATAGATGGGAAAATAATTTTTGTGTTGATTTTTAGATGAAATTCACTGTTACAGAATACCACTTGAGATGTGGTATTTTGAGATAACTGGGGAAGTGAAAAAACAGGTGCGAAGTTTCTCCCGAACATAGATTTTGCAAATTTAAATAAATTTTCCTGATAATATTTCGGTTAACCAAACAACTTTTTTTACATTTTTCTACCAAACTCACTTTCCAACCCTTTTCGTAGTAATTACATTTTCCTAGTATTCAAAAAATTTCTACTCAACCAAACGCCTCGAATACTAAGTTAGTATATTGTCCATGATACATTTCAAAGGAATTTTTGCCTTTAATAATAATATCAATAATTAATAGTTAATAAGATCATCAACTGCCTCAAGGAAATTTATTAATTACTTAATAATATATATAGAATATAAATCGATTATATTATCATAATCTTATACAGTAAAAGACATGGAAGGCACGACAATTTAATGGTTTATCCCCATGATACTCTTGCTGCGCTTTTCGAAGACTACACTGTTTGCTCATAAGCCCAGTTCAGTGATTTGTGAAGGATTTTACATTGCAAAAATAAAAAATAAAAAGGCGTCGTATTTTATTCTGATAAAATTGCAAATGTCGTTACATTAATATGTAAATAATAAAAATTGATATATATATATATATATATAGGAGTAAATTAATTTTTTAATAATTAATGTAGTTCATTAATTAAAATGGTATTATTTTATAATTAAGAAAATAAATTATAACAAAATTATTTAACTAAAAAAACAATATCTATTTTTTAGAGCATTGAAAAAATATTTATTAAAAAAAAGTGCGCACTTCCAAAATTTGCTTTTATTATTAAAAAAGAAGAAGAAGAAAATAAGTGCATCGAGGATAAACCAAACAGTACCAACTTATCGCTCCGAAAAGCACCATTGTTATTTGTTAACTCTACCTTATCGCAACGACATTGACCTCAAAACCTCATCACTTGCGTCCAATTTCCAATAGGTAGTGCGTCACAACCCAATTTTCTCTCTCTAACAAAACAAAATTTCCGAATCTGAGTTACGACTTCCATTCCAATTTACTCTAACTTGATCTTGTTTGAATCTGTTTTCGTTTTTATGCTGCTGATTCTGAATTCTGCGTCTCTCTTTGCCCCTAGTTATCACTGTGTCATTCATAGTTATGGGTTTAGGAATTTGGATCTTAACACTTTGTGTTTTCTTCTGCTGGGGTCTGATTCTGTAATTGGTATTTTTATTTTTATTTTTATTTTTGCCACCTTAATACTGATTTTGTTCTATTTGATGTTTTTGGGTGATGGGAATTTAATTATTTGACTTAAGATGGAAATGGTTTCCCCTGAAGATGATTCTTTGAGGTTGAAATTGGAAATTGTTGATCATACGGACTGTGTTCTATGAGTTTGAGTTGCTGTTTTGCAGGTTGCAGCTTCTAGTAAATTGGTGTACTAGACTGTGTTTGTCTGTGTCTGAAATTAGAATGACCCAGTGCCTAATGTTGGATGTGAAATTTTCATGCCCACGAAATCTTTGATGAAATGCAAATCTTTGGTTTGAATTGCGTATTAAAGTTACTAATAGCAACCTGTGATTTTCTAAATTTGAATTGCCCTGCCATACTTTTCTTTTCCTTTGGGTGGCACTTGCTGAGCTAACCTTTGTATGTGATTCAAGTATAAGAATGGTAGGGATAACATTAGATGTTGTTTAAGTGTTTTACTATGCAATCTGAATTCATTTGATAACATATTATCTGTCTTCTTTTTCATATAGAAGTTGTAGATGGCTCCTTTTGCAGTTACAACATTGCCTTCTTCACATATCTGCCACCTCCGAAAGCCCCCAAACCTTATCCATCCAATTCGATGCTCTATGGCTGCTTCTTCTCCTTCCTCGGTTACCACTAGATCAAAAGCTGCTCACTTTGATTTGAAGACATATTGGACTTCCCTAATGATGGAGATCAATCAGAAGCTTGACGAAGCTATTCCAGTTCAGTTCCCTCCTCAGATATATGAAGCTATGAGGTATTCAGTGCTCGCCAAAGGAGCCAAGCGCGCCCCACCTGTTATGTGCATCTCCGCTTGTGAGCTCTTTGGGGGAAGCCGCCATGCAGCCTTCCCTACTGCCTGCGCCCTCGAAATGGTAATCTTCTTTCTATACACAGTCATTTCATTCTGATTTATTTTATTTTATTTTATAAAATTTTGATTTTTTTATGTTAACACTTAAGAACTACTAAAGTTTTATCAATCAAATAAATCTGTTCCGAATTCCCTACCATTTGTTGCATGTTCAGTCGTAGAAATGTTATGTTGGTCATATGAATAACTGTTTCGGATTCCATCTCTAGCAAGCTGTATCTGCATAAATAGTACCTAAATAGACCTTTAGAAGATATACTAAGAATCTTTGGTTATAACAATACCTTTATTTGCATTGTTCTTAAACAAAATAGTTTATCTGAATCTGTATTTTTGGAACTCCTTGTGGGACATAAAATGGGATTAATGAAGTATTGATATGTACTTATTAAGGAAAATAATGATAATAAACTGAATGAGTTCCTGAGTATTTTAAGCATACATGGTTATAAAAATGAATTGTTAATCTCAAACAGGTTCATGGGGCATCATTGGTACATGATGATCTTCCCTGCATGGATGACTCCCCCTCACGCCGTGGCCAGCCCTCAAACCACACCATCTATGGGGTTGACATGGCAATTCTTGCGGGGGATGCACTCTTTCCCCTTGGATTTCGTCACATTGTTTCACATACTCCCTCTGACCTTGTGCCTGAACCACACCTCCTTCGTGTGATTGCTGAGATAGCCCGCTCTGTAGGCTCCACTGGAATGGCTGCAGGGCAGTTCCTGGATCTTGAAGGAGGACCCAATGCTGTTGGATTTATACAAGAAAAAAAGTTTGGCGAAATGGGGGAGTGTTCTGCAGTATGTGGAGGACTGTTGGCTGGTGCCGAAGATGATGAGCTAGAGAGATTGAGGAGGTATGGGAGAGCTGTTGGGGTATTGTATGCGGTTGTGGATGATATTTTGGAACAGAGATCGAAAGCTGAGGGAGGTAATGACAGAAAAAACAAGGGGAAGAGTTATGTGGAGGTTTATGGGGTTGAGAAAGCAGAAGAGATGGCTGAAGAGCTTAGAGCAAAGGCTAAAGAAGAATTGGATGGATTTGAGAAGTATGGGGAGCGAGTCTTTCCTCTCTACAGTTTTGTGGATTATGCTATCGATAGAAGTTTCAGTGTTGATGACGCCAGTGGGTGATGGGTACTTGAAATTTATCTATGTATACCTCTTTGATTGATTTGAATACTTGAGAATCGATGATTGCATTGCATAGATAACTTACACGGTTTAGAACAGGGAACTTTAGGTCTATATAACCAACAGTGAGCATTTAAAGCTTGGTTTTCTATTCATTTTGGGTTGGCTATCTTGACCATCTATACGGATGAGGAAGTTCTGAAGCATGGAAAAGAAAAAAAAAAAAAAAAAAAAAAATCCCATGTTAATATTAGAAATGTATCATACAGTTGGCATCTGTGATACCAAAGGTAAAATTCCATGACCATAAAGCACTAATGTTATGATTTATTTCGTATAATTGACACTAATTGATATGCTTCAAGTTTATTCTTAGTATTTGTTCCAGTTCGTAGTGTCTTCATCCTCAATTAAATTCCTGGTGTGAGTCTCCAACTTAGTTAAACCATGAGTGCAACTTGAAACTCAAGAACAAGGCCACGAGTAGTCACTAATTTGTTTTTAATTAAACGGATCCGTCCAACTAGCTTCCTTTACTTTCGTTTTGTTCATATTTTTTACTTTTTAGTCAGGCCAAAACGATGGCCATCCGTACAGGCAAATTCAGGGGCATGTTTGAAATATGTTTTGAAAAATAATTTTTTAATTTTCAGAAGAAAAAAAAAACCTGTTTAATAATGCCTGTTTTGTAAAAATAGTTATAAAAATTATTATTTTTTAATTTTTAGAATCAAATTTAAAAAATATGCTTGAGTTGTTTTGTGTTTTAACTTTTAACTTTCAAAACAAAAATAAAATAAAAAAACAAAAAATACCTTTTTCATTAATTATTCTATAAAATAGTTTTAACTCTCCGGAATAAAAAAATCAGAATACACTTAAACAGACTCTCAGCCACGCTATCTTTTCTTTCTTTCTTTTTTGTTTGGAAAAAAAGTTTTTAAAGTTATTTTAAATAAATTTATCTAATGTTAACCAAAATGACATAGTTTTTAAGTTGAAAGATTAAAAAATTAAAATAATAAAGACTATTATAATTCTGAAATAAATTAAAATTACAAATACATCATAATTTATGTTCCAAAACAAGGTCTCCATAAATATTAGACAAATTTTTTTAAAGTAAGTTTAGAAAAAAAGAACTTTTTTTTTGTTGCTAAATTGAGTTTGTGTTTTCTTTCTTCCAAGCAAAATTTAAGAGGACATTTGATACACGGGTAAATTTTAAGTTCTCGGAAATAAAATATTACGAATCCTATTTATCCACGTTCAATTGTGAAAAAATTTTGCGGAAAAATAGATTCTTGGGATTTGAATTTGTGAGGGAGAATGCTGAGGTAGTATTTTTGAATTCCTACATGCGATGAAAAAATTTCAACAATTTTTTATGTCTAAAATACCCTTGTTTCTCTCTCATCTCTCTCCATTTTTTGTTTCGATTCCTCAATCTTCTTCTTCCTTCGCAACTTACAAAACAAAATCTTCATCAACGATTTGAATTTTGAGGGCAATAACCAGTTCCTGCAGAACTGAGCTTGGATTTAAGACCCACTTTTGTTCCCAAAACCATCACTGATTTCTTCTACTATCCCCCAAAACCATCAATGAGTTCAGCTTAGCTCTGGAACAACACTACTGCAAATAATGTCTCCGATAAAAAAAAATTCAAAATTAGAAACCAAGATAAATTAATTAAAGAGGAAGAGTATATTCATTTATGGGGTGCTATAACTCCCACTTAATCTAAAAAAGGAGAATACAAATACCAAGTTCATTTCAGGAATCTTAAAGAGTATTATTATTTTTTTTTATTTGACGATGACAGATAAATGAAGAAGAAGGGCAGTATGTGGTAGGACCCTTTCCAATGTTGTAGCAATAGAAATGGAGGAAGGGCTTTTATGCCTTTCTCCACTTACCCGTGACAATAGTGGCACTGGCAGCAATCAAAGAAGAGAAGGAAGACACTGTTATGAATAGACTCTCTCTTCTAACCCCTGGATTGAAAAACTTGAGGGAATCTATAACCAGCTTCAACAGGGTAGTTCCCTCATCTCCTCTGCTCTCCACACAAGCTTGCGTGCAGGATCTTCAACAGCAACAAACTGATAGAAAAAAAAAAAAAAAGTAAAGAAGATGCTGGAGTTGCACCGTGGATTTGTTAATGCCTGAGCCTGAACTTGAATGTTGTCTCTTGTAGAGGTTAATTTTTGTAAAATGACTCATTCTTAATAATATTTCACAATTAATCAAATATAAAATCATTAAATTTGAGTTAATATTTTTAGTAATATTTTCACCAATCAAATAATTTTTTGATAATATTATTAAAAATTTAATTTTTCATCATATTTCTGAAAATTATGATTCAAAAGAATAAAAAATTTTATCTTTTAACAAACGCCGGAAGAGTCTCCACATGGACCACGTGCACCCAAAACCGATGGCCTATGGGTTTAGGAGTTTTTTGTTGGTTGGAGACGGGGTAAGAAGAGGAACCTATAACCAATCTCTAGTTGGTAAATCTCTCACATCAGTTTTTCCTTTCATAAGTCATAATGCACAATTTCCATTACTTATTCTTCTATGTTATTGTCTCAAATCTGATCGATCATTGCATGTTAACTCACAGCTAAAACATGTAAAAAAAAGTATAGCATTCTTTTTGGCAGACACGCGCGGTTAATCTAAAAAATTTCTTAATGTCTATTAATTATTAATTTTAATATGAGTAACCGTGTATATATATATATATGTGTGTTAAAAATAAAAAGTCTTACATCAATTTTTAATCATTAATTTCTATGCATTTAACATTTAAAATTTATTAGATCATATTAATTAATTATTATGTCCAGAAAATTATAACCGATAAATTAACAGAAATCAATATTTAAGATTTCGTGTAAAAAATTTTATTCTTATACTGATATGCATTGATCATATCTCTATATATATCATTTTTTAAGAATAGATTATTCTTATATATGTAAAAATATAATTTTTTTTATATTCATTTTTGGTGATAATTGACTTATTTGTATATGTAACTCATGACCATAATGTCAATTAAAGTCTTAAACAGACATAAACTTGAATACCAATCACCAGTTCTAAATATTCTAATGAGGCAAATCATTGATTTTGATAAGACTTTTAATAAAGCTCTAAATATTAAAGATCGCAATCAATAAGTTAAGTAGAAAACTCAAACCAAAATATATCGTGCATCATTTTTTTAATTCAAAATTTTAAGACATTCATTGTACATCAAATATATGAATCTTTCATCTTATATAATCTTTAGTTAATTTATTTTTTATTTTTTTTGAATAACTAGTTAATTTATTATTAATATGCGACTGTAACGCTAATTCCTCACCTATGATAAGAAAGGACCGAAAGGTGCATGCATCTAATTTTTTATTTTTTTTAGAATTAACTCAATCTTAATTATTTCCATATGCATCTATTTTTTTTATCATTGCTGCTAAAAAAACCTTAAATGCAGCTGACACACTGTCATTATTCGTCTGAGCCAAAGTTGTCATCTTCTTATTATAAAATTGCTGAAAACTTTTAAGATTGTTAAAAGCAACACACCAGACGAAGTTCACCTGTCACTTTTTGCTGTTTTTCATATATTCGGTGGTCACTTTTTTTCTTAATCTTCGTTACTTTTCTCCAAGTTGCACAATTCCAATTTTATTACATGTATGGGAAGCGAATATGCAACCAGCAGTAGCAGTTATAAGCTATTTATATTTGAAACAAACAAACACAGTGATTGAGGGACTTGAAACCGAAATTTACTACAGACAAATTAGTGTGACTTGAGTCCATAATCCATATCAGTCCAAGTAGGCCTATGCATGGGCCAAGTCGGGTCAGATTTTTGTCCGACTCGATCCAACTTGGTTTTTATAGGTTAGGTATTTTGATCTGACCCGCTTTAATTTGATCCAAGTCAAGTCTGACTTGGATTGAATTTTGTTTAACTAGTTCAGACCCAATTTGGATCTGACCTGACTTGGTTTCTGAAATGGGTCTGACTTGGTTTCTGAACTGGGTCAAATCTGACCTGACCCGTTTTTGACTTGGTTTTCTCACAAAATTTTGTCGAAATTTTTACGTTGCAAAGGACGAAAATTTCGTCACAAAATTATTTTTTCGTCAAAATTTTTACAAAAAAAAATTTTCTGTTGAAATTTAGTTTCCGTCAACAGTTTTGACGAAAATGATTTCTTCCATCAAATGTTTTAAACGAAAAAAGGATTTTGTCAAAAAATTTGACGGAATGTTTTTCGTTCAAAATTTCGATGGGAATGTGTTCTGACGAAAATTATTTCGAGAGAAATGTTTCATTTGAAACTTTCGACGAAATTTAGATTATCTAAAGAATTTTGACAGAATATTTTTTTCTTCAAAATGTTTTTTTTGTCAAAAAAATTTACGGAATTTTTTTATAGAAATGTGTTTCGTTGAAAATATTGATGGAAATTTTTATCAAAAAACTTGACGAAAATATTTAGTTGAAAATTTTCGAAGGAAATGTGTTTCGCTAAAAATTTTGACGAAATTTTTTTTTTGTCAAAAAATTTAACGAAAATATTTTCATCGAAAACTTTCGCCGAAATTTGAAATCTGTAAAGAATTTTGATGAATTTTTTTGCCGTCAAAATTTTTTTATGACGAAAATATTTTCGTCGAAAACTTTCGCCAAAATTTGAAATCTATAAAGAATTTTGATGAAATTTTTTGCCGAAAAATTTTTTGATGACAAAAATATTTCCGTCGAAAACTTTCGCAGAAAATTTGAAATCTGTAAAGAATTTTGATGAAATTTTTTGCCGTCAATATTTTTTGCCGTCAAAATTTTTTGTTGACGAAAATGTTTCGGTCGAAAACTTTCGCCAAAATTTGAAATCTGTAAAGAATTTTGATGAAATTTTTGCCGTCGAAATTTTTTGATGACGAAAATTTTCCGTCGAAAACTTTTGCCGAAATTTGAAATCTGTAAAGAATTTTAATGAAATTTTTTGCCGTCGAAATTTTTTGATGGAAATGTGTTTCGTCAAAATTTTCAATGGAAATTGTTTTGAGGAAAATGTTTCATTTGAAACTTTCGACGAAATTTAGATTCTCTAAAGAATTTAGACAAAATATTTTTTCTGTCAAAATTTCTTATAGAAATATTTTTGTCAAAAAATTTTACGAATTTTTTTTACAGAAATGTGTTCCGTTGAAAATTTTGATGGATATATTCTTTATCAAAAAACTTGACGAAAATATTTAGTCGAAAATTTTTTATAGAAATGTGTTTCGCTAAAAATTTTGACGAAATTTTTTTTTGTCAAAAAGTTTAACGAAAATGTTTCCGTCCAAAACTTTTGCCGAAATTTGAAATATGTAAAGAATTTTGTTGAAATTTTTTTCCGTCAAAGAATTTCGATGAAAATGTATTTCGTCGAAAGATTTTATGAATATATTTTTTTGTGAAATATTTTGACGAAATTTAGATTCTGTAAAAGAAATTGACAAAAAAAATATTCCGTCAAATTTTTTTACCGATATGTTTTTAGTCACAAATTTTGATGAAAATATTTTTCGTCAAAAATTTTTGCGAAAATTTTTATGAAAATATTTTTTCATAAAAAATTTTGACGTAATTGTTTTACGTTAAAACTTTTCTTTTAATGTAATTGTGGTTTTTTTTTCACATAATGGGTATGGGTCAAGTTTTGGGTCAATGAGTCGATATTAAAACGAGTCAGGTCTAAAACTGACCCAAATAAAAGTGGGTAAGTATTTAAACCAGTTCAAAAAATATGGATATTTATGGGTCGGGTCAAGATCGGATCAAGGGTAAAACAATTGAACCAGTTTTTTTACACACTCCTAAGTCCAAGCATAAAGTTTAATTGGAACATAAAAATAGGATATAGGAACATGTGGAAGAGACGAATCTGGCTCATGTGGTTCTACAAATTGTCAGCACAGCATATAGAATATTCGATCCTGCTGTTGGTTTCCGACATATTAAGCTTGTGGAAAAACAAAACATCTTATAAATAACTTTCAGATTTTATCTAAATTAATAATGCATACACTTCTCATAAATAAAATTTATAAATTTTATTTAAATTTAAGACGTTCTGACACGATACGAATACCAAAAGAATTATTCGCATTCGGATTAGCTCATATTTCAATTCATGTTGGTATATCATGACACATGCAAACTCAAATTTAATCCATATTTGTTAGTTAATTATTATTTTGACGAGCGAGTCGTGTCTTATATCGTATCAATCCATATAAAAAAAGGATTATATTAGTGTTGAGAAGTGAGAACTCTTAAATTTTGATTTATAAATTATTTATATGATGTCAATACATAAAATTTGCGAATGGTATTCATGTTGAGTATTTGAACACCAATAAAAGTTGTGTTATATTCATGGATTTTTTTGACCCTTTTGCTCCTCATTAATTAATTAATAATCAATTTGCCTCTCTCCCAGAACTATCTACCAATCTGCCCCTCTTTAATTGATTAAGATGAATTTTTAATCGACTACACGGTCAAAATGCAGAAAATGTGTTGACGCGAAATTTAATCGATTAAAAATTCCTCTTAATCGATTAAATTTCAGGACATTTAATCAATTAAAAAAAATATTTAATCGAATAAATGTCGGCAAAAATCCTACATTTTGCCCTTTCTCGGTCTCATTTCAAATATTTTCGTTTTGTAAACCAATATCTCTCTTGTTTGTCATCTGTAATCCTTGCAATCACGATTCCATTTCATCCCACCATCTCTAAAGTCTTAATATTGTGAAATCATTGTCATTCCACTTATATTCTCATTTATTGCCCCCAAAATCTGAACCCTACTCCCAAATTCGTGTGAAAGATGAGCTCAAGTCTAAACATGTATGTTACAATGATCTACTATGATGGAAAATATTTTGAAGACCCCAATGGTGTTCAATTTGAAGGAAAAACAAAAATGTTGAAAATCCGACGAGGCACTACATACAATGAGCTGAAGGGGAGAACTCACCAAAAATTGGGGCTACAAGGCAGCCAATGCGTTCAGCGGATGATCGCCAGGGTAGAGTCTACAGTTGGTAAGGATGTTATATACTACATTGGTAGCGATATATGTGACGATGAAGATGTGGAATGTGTCATAGATGCAATTGTTGATCAAAAATTTCAAAGTTTTATTGAGATATATGTTGAAATAGATTGTGGTCAATCTTCATCTGCACCCATGCATGAAAGAAGTGAACAATATTTTGGTCAAGAAGACAAAGTCATCGGTTTATCTGCACCTGTCATACGTCAGATAACACTGAGGGAAATAGATAAGGATGAGCACGAGGAGGATATGGACAGTGATGAGGACGGTGAACCTAAGAGTGTTATTCCGCTAGGTGACACCTCAGATACTGACGTAGAGGGTGATTTTGACGCTGACACAAACTCAGAAAACCTTAGTTCCCAGGTTATGCAACCACTTCGTGTTGACCCTGTTAGCAGTGGTAAGATAGTAAATTAAAGTTTTAAATGAACATTTCATCTTTGTGTTATCATTGGTACTAACGGAAAAGTTTAAATTTTGACGTAGGTTCTGAGATCAAGCCATTTTGGAACGAAAGCCCATATTATTCCTTCATTAATTGGGCCCACCCTAATGATGAGACAGAGATATTGTATGGTGACGATGACTTGCATGGTGACTGGCAATTAGGGGATCCATTATATTTGTATCAGGAGTTTCGTAGTAAATCTGAAATGCAACATGCAGTCAAATTATATTGTATGAAGGCTCATCGTACTGCTGTAGTGGCAAAAAGTGATGAGCATAGATTTGTGATGAAGTTTCGACACCATAATGATGGTTGTCCCTGGTACGTGAGGGCATTGTTGTCGAAGAATGAAAATACTTGGGTGGTCAGTAAGTGGGGTAAAGAACACACCTGCCTAAACCAAGGTCTTACCCGGGATCATAGACAACTGGATTCTGATGTTATTTGTGCAGCCATTATGAGTATGTATTATGCGATGTTTGGTTACATAAGTTATGTTTATGTTATTTACTGAAATATTTTTATTGACAGTGTTGACTTCGAGTTTTTTTTTCTTTATAGGTATGTTAAAATGAGAGGTCGACGTTATCAGGCACTTCGTCTTGTGGCCTTGAGGAAGAAGGCCGGTCTTGTCGTTGCTTCGTGCGTCTCTCACTGTTGGCATTGCTTGGTCTTTGGCAGCCAACCATTGTAACAGAATACCTATAATGACAAAATAATTAATCAAAACTCAGATAATTCAATAGCAAAAAACATACATATTAAAACAAAAACAAACACTGCCCTAACTCAATGGTAAACAAAATAATAAACTCTAATTTTTTTTGTTAAAACCCTAACTCAACACTGCCCGAAAACAAAAATCGACACTGCCCTACCTTAAACATGAATTGTTAAAACAGCACTGTCCTAAGGAAAAAAAAAAACTCTAAAATATGTCATGGGCAGGAAGGGAATGACATTTCATTCCAAAAAAAATCATCTTAATCGATTAAAGAGGGACAAGTTGGTAGATAGTTCTGGAGAGGGACAAATTGATTATTAATTAATTAATGAGGAGCAAAAAGGTCAAAAAGCCTATATTCATGTTGATATTATAATATCATGTCATGTGAATCCAAATTGTCATCCCTGTATAATACCACTCCTTGTGTTTTCTTCGATTTGGTTTGGTGTTTAAACTAATTTTTGTATCATACAATCCCCACCCCCACCCCACAATACATATATAGTTGATTCTGCTATTATTGATATGGAGAAGACAAAGTGTATTGCAGACATGGTGGGTGAGGTGTGCACAATAACGACAAATGATGCTAGAATTTAACTTTAATGAGTAAAGCTTAATATCACGTGGAGTCCATTATATGAGTAAAAAAAAAAGCAAATGGTCGAGATGGTCAGATGAAAATCTTATGAAACATGAAAGCTATCGTACTTTGTGAATACCTGTTCATGAGAAAAAAAATAAAAAAAACGAAGTATGGTACAATCTTTTACTAAAAAAAAATTGCGTGGATATCCTCCCTATTGTCCATTACAAAACGCTTTGTGAATACCAAATTTCATTCAAGATTCTCAATTAAATAATAGCTTTGAAAGAAAGTAACTTCGAGGGAAAGTAACCATAGGAATATGAGTTGGCACAGAAGAATATCATGAAAAGCTTCCGCGGTTTCGTGTCCGTAGATCTTTTCGTAACGAAGATGTTCACTCTTTTATTATTTAAGTTAAAATATAATTTTGGCACACTCAATTGAATTTTAGTATATTATTTTTAAATTTAGTCTACATATGCATAATTATTTTTAAATAAATAAATAAATAAATATATATATATATATGAATTAAATTAAAAAATTAAAAAAAAAAAAACTCTCTCTATCTCTCATTTCTATATGAATGTCATGGCTCCGCTTTTAAAAGGAAACTGTGTCTCTCTTTCTCTGTTTAGGAACTTTCAGCTTTTGAAAGCCATGGCTCCGTCTTTAAACCAATCCATTTTATTTCGGGTAATTTTGGTGGGTAGTGTCTTCTGGTTATTGGCAAGTCCTTCCATAGCTGAGCTTCCAAGGTTCAAACACCCTGTGAAAGCAGACCAACCTCTTAACTTTTTGGTAGTTGGTGATTGGGGAAGAAAAGGAACCCACAATCAATCTTTGGTCGCCAATCAGGTTTAGCCCCAACTCGCTCCTCTTATATATTTTCATTCTGTTTATTATCCAACTAAATTTGATTAATGTTAATTCATAATTCTATATGATATATATATTGTTCTGCACATAACATAATTTTAGATAACTATGTGGTTAGTTCATGAAATTAAAGACTTCTATTAAAAGGCAATGATGCTTTTACATGGTAACCATATGGAGTGCTGTTTGGGTTTTAGATATATTGAAACTGTTCAAACGGAATGCAGTTTGGGTTTTCGATTAGCCAAACCCAGGATAGGTTGAACAACCAATAGACCCAACTGGTAGTTCTGAATTGGTCCTGCGTACGAATATATTTTAGAAAACCCGCATCTACCATTCACATATAATAAAAGATAAACTCTTTTGGTCACATTGAGAAAAAGGTTTTTATAAGAGTTATGTTGTAGAAAGAGTGATTCTATAATGTTATAGAGATTTATTTTGCGTGTCTTAGTTTTTTATTTTATTTTTACTTTAAAATGTGCGGACCTCACAAAATATTGTGTGTGTAAAAAAATTTGTTGTGTCATGTTAAAAGACAAATTACGACCCCTAAGAAAAATATTGAAAAGATTTTAACTTGAGAACCATTTGTTCAAGTCTTAATAAGAACTCTTGCGTTAGAGCCGAATAATTGAAAAAAATAATAATTTTGGGAGTGGGAAACCAAAAAATAAATAAATTATAATTCAATATTATTCTACTAAAAAGTTATAGTTACAAATTTTTTGTTTACAAATTCTTACAAATTACATTATATCTTACCGATAAGATATTCTTAAATAAAATCTTATCAATAAGATATAATATAATTTATAAATTTTAAAAAAAATTATCAATTATAATCGTGCTGTTTCGGTGAATTGCATAAACATTGTGGCTTTTGAAATTGGTAAAGTTTCGAAATAGATCAAAATGCAAATCAAATCAATATTTTCCGGTTGTGCATTTGTTTGTCTCTGAAATATGGCTCCTTGCTGATGTAATAAGAGGATATTATCTACTTTAAACTCTCGGTAGCATATTCCAAGTAGATGCTCGGCACATATAATTGTACAACATTAACGTCGTAGCTTTATCAGTCACTATTTTATAGCCTCCTATCCTATATGTTTCTATTTTCCACTAATTACTTAATAATGTCAAAAACCAAGCATCTCAATGGCTGAATCGTAATGTCTAAATCACTAGTTAAGAAAACATGGTGCATTTCCAATAAAGAAGCAACATACATGGTCATCACGTCATCTATCTTTTTTTAGCGTCTTTCAAAATTTAGGATACATAATAAGTGTGGTTTTTTTGTTTTTGGCTGTGGTCATGGTAAGTGTGAATCATCTTACCAAAACTATATCCCACTTAATTTCTGTGTCTAATCCCTCTACCCAAACTATGTCCCCAGAAGTAACTTTTATCTTTTAATTTCCATTGAAAACATGACTCCTTCATTAGGTATACCCACTTAGAGATTTTAAAGTACTTGGGGCAAGAGAAACGTGAGACAACTGGTTTCTAAACCCACATGCACATCAGTATGACATGACCAAGCACCTTATTATTACATCCTACTTTAATCTTGTGGTGGATATATTCCCACGCATATTCCTATTAAACATTAAGAAGGTAGTTACTGAGACACGCATATACATCACTGGGAACAATTCAGTAGTGTAGACATGAGCATATTCCATATAGGTCTTGCTCAATGGAATCACGCCTCTTGTCAGCAAATGGTTATTGACTGCCATTTCTTGTCACATTATTAAGAGTTTGACTATGATGATAATTATATAATATGTCAAATATTTATAATAGTATAACAAAATATAATCAGATAAAAATATAAAAAAAATTAATTTCACTCACAGTCATATAAACCAAACTAGTTATTATTAAAGAATTGATTTATTTTTTTCCAGCAAAGCTAGATTAGAATTAGATTTTGCAAATTGCAAATCCCATTTTCAAAATGAAGTGATAGCTGAAGCGATTATAGTTCTTTGGATGTCTTAAACTATATATTTGTTTTATAGTTTTTTGTTTTTTTATATGTAAGCATATACTTTGTGCTTGTTTGGATTTTTTTTTAAATTTCTCTTCTCCTTGTAAGTAGAAGTTAGGTCAAATAAGTTTTTACAAAAGCTCTTATAATAAGAAAAATTATAATGAAAAAAAAATCAAAAGCTTTTTTTAAGTTATATCAACTTTTTTTGAAATGTGTATTTTTTTTAAATGAACAGCTTTTAAGTAACTTTTATGCTTAAATTTTATATAATTATCAAATAGCTTTTAGTTTTTTCTTAAAGTTTTTTTTTTAACTTCAACTTAAAAGTAACTTTTAGCTTAAAAAAAGACGTACCAAACATGCTCTAGACATTTTACACAAAGGACTTGTTTTATATATTTTTTCTAAGCATTTTATAAAATTATCTCAATAATCCTATAGTCAATACTAAAACGGTTTGCGATTAAATTACATAAAAAATTATTTAAAAAAACAGCAGCAACAATTAATTAAATTAAAACCATTATTAATAATCAATAATGACAACTCATTTTGTTTTTCTTATTATTTTAAAATTAAATACTAACTTAAATAAAAATATATATAACTATCTTAAGAGTATAAATAATATATTAAGATTTGTTCTTGACAATATTATTTTTTTTTATACATTTCTTGACAATATTAAAATTTTTAAACAGCTTGTATGATTTTTATTTTTTTTACTTTTGGTGAACCATGTAGTAAGTCTTTTTATTGCTTATTTTTGAAGATGGGAATTGTGGGGGAGAAACTAAACATAGAGTTTGTGATCTCCACCGGTGACAATTTTTACGATGATGGCCTAGAAGGAGTTGATGATCCAGCATTCTACGAGTCATTTGTCAACATCTACACAGCTCCAAGCCTGCAAAAGATATGGTACAATGGTAAGTTATTAAAGTTTCAATATTCTTTGAAAGCGATTAATACTACAAAACGAATAGTATAAAATTTTATAAATTTATTTTGTTAATAAAAAATTATTCTTCATTTTTACCATGGCAGTTTTGGGTAACCATGACTACAGAGGGGATGTTGAGGCACAACTAAGCCCCATTCTAAGACAAAAGGATAGCAGATGGGTTTGCCTAAGATCTTTTATTCTCGATGCAGGTACATAAACCCTTTTAATTTATGTTTGGTTTTGATGATGAGTTTAATATTTATGTGTTTTGCTGCAGAAATTTTTTATGAGTGAATCTTACTAATTTTTTTTCTCTCTTGGGATTCACTCATTTTTATATGAACGTGGTAGAAAAAGAAATTATGCAATAAAAGCAGAAATGTTTTTCTTTTGATGATTTTTAAAGATAAAATTGTTTCTATTTATGGTAGGATATTGTAACAACCAAATTGAGTTACATGTAACTATCAATAATTTCACTGTTAGATTGATTGTTTGATCCGACGGTCCTGATTTGATCTTTATATATCCTCTCTCTTCCCCCTTCTCTCTCCTCCCTTCTCTCTCACTATACAATCTGTTGCCGTCGCCACTCATCACCACTGCCGCGCCGCCGCACTCTACCCCCGCCACTGCCCCTCTCAATCGGGCCCTCGCGCCATACCCTCTATTCTGGGACAAACAAAAACCACTTGGCAGTGACAGTGATGATCCTTTTTGATGTCCTTCGTTACTAGGTATCGTTGAAATTCACATACTAGTATTCAAACAATAAATTAAAAAATTACCTCTGCTTGTAACCAAACGACAAACAAGAAAAATCTCACACATTAAAATTTCAACTTTGTTTTCTCGAAAAGGATAAACAAAAAATCAGCATAATTCAAAGATCAAAAGTAAAGTACGTACCTTGCAATGTGTGGAATCCATGCAGAGAGAGAAGGGGGGAGAGAGAGCAAAAGGGGAGAGAGGGGCGCACAAATCTGAGAGGGATGAACCACGGTAGATTGAGGGGGGCAGCGGCGGTAGAGTGTGGCGGCACGACGGTGGTGATGGGCAGCTGCACGGCGTCGGCGGTGGGAAGCGGCGTCGGTGATGAGTGGTGGCGGCGGCAGCAGATTGTATAGTCAGAGAGAGAGGGGGGGAAATAGAAAGAGTATATAAGGATCAAATCAGGACCGTCGGATAAAAAATCAATCTAACGGTGAAATTATTGGTAATAACATTGGTAGTAACCCAACTAACTTGGTTGTTACAATATCCTATCCCATTTATTTAAAGGGGCAGTTATACTTACTTCTGAAAAGTTCTACAATTCTTACTACTAAATTAATTAACATTGATTTCCGTCAATCTAACGATTATAATTTATTGGAAATTAATAAATTATAATTGTTAGATTAGTAGAAATCAACGGTAATTAATTTAGTAGTAAGAGTTGTAAAAAAATTTAGCAGTGAGTATAATATCTCCCTTATTTAAAACAATAAGTTTTCTTAGCAAGATTTTGAGTACAAATTGTTTTACGCATCAAATAAGTAAATTCAAATGCACATCTATATTTAGAAATCATAATGTAAATGAATTGATATAATTGATCCTGTAGAGTCTTGTGATGATTAGGTGATAAAAGTATTCATTTCTTGAATTAAACCCTCATAGTTTTTTTTCTTTCAGAAATTGTGGAGTTTTTCTTTGTGGATACAACTCCATTTGTAGATAAGTATTTTACGGAACCGGAGAGTGAAGATCATACCTATGATTGGGAAGGCGTGCTTCCTCGCCAAGCTTACCTTTCAGAACTCTTGAAGGTTTGTTACAAATTCAAATTTGTTGTCATACAAAGAAGAAAAAATGTGTAGAGTTCCACAAATTATTCAAAAACAATTAGGATATGCGGTCATTTTCGTATTCAAGAATTTCATGAAGTTGTTTAGAAACTTGTGACATTATTTTAAATAAATCTAAAACTTAAAAAATTGTTTTTTTTTTCTGTCACACAAGATAAATTTATCTCCTATAATGAGGTTTTGGGATTTAGGAAAAAAATATAAAAAATATTTTAAGAATTTTGTTTCTCTCTTGTCACATGAATTTTTTTCAAAATATCATTTAAAAAAAAAAAAAAAATCCCAAAACGTCATTAAAGACACTAGTTTAGCATTAATGCATCTTTCATTTCATGACACATGAGCACTTGAAGGTGGGTAATTGTCAACTCTGCTTTTGGAATCTTTCTGTAGGATGTTGATTCAGCTTTGGCACAGTCCAAGGCAAAATGGAAGATAGTGGTGGGTCATCATACCATCAAAAGTCCTGGGCATCATGGTAATACCCAAGAGCTTGAGGAGCAGCTTGTTCCCATCTTAAAGGTAAATGAATCACACTTGACAATTAAGAGCATTGAGTCCATTGTCATTCTCCCCGTTGATAGGTGTTTAAGATCCTCATGTTTTTTGTATGACAATTGAAATTGATTCAAAACACACATGGCATAGTCCCATATTCATGGCAATGACAATTGCATTGCCACGACTTTGGCATCCAAACATGTACATCTAAGATAACAAGATATCTTACCATATAATTGTTGACTTTGACTCCTCTAAAGTAAGAAACACACTTTTCAAGGTAAAAATATAAGTTGTAACGTTGATTTGTAATAAAATATATGCACGTATACAACAAACTATGAAGTTATTAAATTACACTCTCTTCATTTTTTTCCAATCAATGACTATAATTCCACACTTTATTCTTTAGACGAGTCAAATCCATAATTGCTGAAGTCATTGCATGAAAATCTACAACTTCTAATCAGTTTCTTCATTATGGACCAGGCAAACAAAGTTACTGCATACATAAATGGACATGACCATTGCGTGGAGCACATAATTGACACAGAGAGGTAAGCATATCATGTTAACTAAAAGTATTAACATCATTAGTGTTCTGAAATCCAAGTTTCCGTTGTTTGCATTAACAATGCAGTGGAATTCACTATCTAACAAGTGGAGGTGGATCAAAGGCTTGGAGGGGCGATGTCAAGCCGTGGAACCCTGAAGAATTGAAGTTGTATTATGATGGGCAAGGATTCATGTCTGTGCAGATCACCAAAACCAATGTAGACATCGTATTCTATGATGTTTTTGGCAAGGCTTTGCATACATGGAGCATAACCAAAGAGCTTAACTCAGTAGCCGATATATAATAAGCTAGATGCATGCAAACATTCAGCTCCATATTATGAACCTAGGGATCACTCTGGCTGAAAACTTAGTGCACTTAAAAAATGTACTATTTGTAACAAAAAGCAAAATTGAAGGCCATTTGTAAAAGTCTTAATGAGCCTGCAGTGCCTGTAATATTGTACCCACACTCAGACATCTAGTATGTAGTATTTGCCATCTAGTATGTATAATACTTGAATTTATGATAAACCTTGAGATATCTTTGAGTTGCGTTCCTCATCTCTTTCTAATCAGCTTCGTCTTAAAACTCCCCAAAAGGACATTGACTCGAATAGTGCTATCAAAGCACACCTTCACAAACTATTTTCTAGTTGTTTTACCAGTGCCTTTTTCCAATTCTTAAAACCAAGTGCAATTTTTTGTGGTTACCTTTTCTTGGAATTGTTGAACATGGATACTACTTACCCAATTGCACACTATATATAGATTCATGCATTCTCCAGTAAGGCAACAGTAAATGAATTTGTTTCCTTAGCTTTGATACGTAATCTTCCCAAGAAGCAACTGCAGCCACAATTCCTGTCCAGTTAAAGCAAATGCTTTCATTTTCTTCAGAAGGCATACCACGGAAAACACTCGATGCAAAAGCATCATCAGCATTTGAAAGTACAGAATTTACAGCACTGATTTTCTCTGTTTGCACATCTGACAGTCTTACTACCTTAGTGTCTATATTCAACTCGTTGGTCTGTAAGGCAGATCCTTTCCAACAATAGAAATGGACAACCTGTTCAGCCAAAATAGAATAATCAGAGTAGTTGCAGAAACTTTTGCACAACCAATCAAAGATTATAAATAGCTAGAAATGGGTGATGCATAAACAACTGTAGTAAATGCAGTAAAAGAAAAACGAAGGGACTATATTACAACATAAAATTCAAATTCAGAAGAAAAAAAAGTAGCTCTATTTTTAAGTCTCTTTAAGAAACTTGGAGGAGGACCCTGTTCAACTTTTTCAGATCCTTTTTATGTCTAAAGCTGAATTAGAGTTACTACAAGTCCAGAAACATGTAATACATTCAAGTTCTGTTCTTTTAACATTAAGATGTAGAAAATCCTAGTTGATGTAATCCACTCAGGTTGACAGTTATCCCTGTAATTCAGAGAAAGCATTCTCCATATATTAAATTGCAAGAATTTTCCACATTACATTGATGGATAGCCAGACTGTTCTACACATTGATGGCTTTCATCAATTAAACTACTTCTCTTTGTCTTAACCCTTCTTTTATCAACCCAAAATAATAATAATTAAATCCACCATGAGACAGAGGATTCTCCCCATTGGTAAAACTACATTTCTAGCTAGTTTGTTTTGCCCAGCATTGCAAGACTATGAGAGCTAGTGGCATTCATAAACCTATTTTCGCAAAGGGAGACAAAAAAGACAAAAAATCATGGTCACTTATGACAGACTTTCGATGTATAATTATGTGGATTTTTTATACACTTGATCTTTTACTATCAGCAGAAAATATAACTTTGATAGGATTCTTTGAAAATACCTGAAGTGCATGCAAAATATTGACAAATTCCTGATCCAGCAACTCATTTCCCCTCACTAAGCAAAGTGGCTTTGCCAGTAATTCAGAGACATCAGACTCACAGCAACAGTCTTGAGAAATATATATGTCATATCCAAGAACATGCAGTCTAGCCCAACAGATATTAAAACCGAGCTGATGATTGGAAGCTTGGTTTTGAGAAAGCCAATACATATTGCTGGATGCAGGTAAAGGTAGGTATGAACCAGCCATGTTCTTATGTAAAAGGTGTTGTGAAAGAAGAGAAACAAGCTTCCTATCCTCATCATGGGAACCATCACGAGTGAACCATAAAGCAAGCGTTAGTCTTTCTCCGTCAGTTATCTGTCAAAGACAACATATCAGAAAAAAAAATTATGGCCATATATTTATCGATGATTAAACTATCATTTGGTCTCTGAAAGAATGATTTCACATCATTTTAGTCGTCCCAAAAAAACATATATATTTACAACTGCTGTCTACATCAATCTTGAAATTTATTTCATCTCTATTAATAATTAAGAGAACATATGGCTGTTTTCCATCTGCATATTTTGTTCCAAAAGAAACAAAAAGGCATTTAATTTATTATCATATTTGTCAAAAAATAATAATAAAAGGCATTAGGTTATAAAAGCAATAAATATTTTAAAATAAAAGTAAGTAATTATAGATAACTGCAGCCTACTTACTTTCTGTGCTCCTTTATTTTTAACCCACTCCTCTCACTTTCTTTTTCTTTATTTTTATCACCAACTTCAAGAGGAAAAAATTTAGTCCTTCAAAGATTGGATTGACATCAATTTAATACTTCATTGAGTCAAATTTACATATTGATGTAGTTAATACATGTAAATTATCTTTCAAGGACTAAATTTACATAACTCATCCTTCAGGAATCCAAATGAAAAATTGCTCTCTAATAAAACAACCACACTGGGAGAGGATATAAGACAAGATGGTTATGCCTAATATTATACTCTTGAAAATGGTAACTTTAAAGAAACAAACTAACAACACTTTATTAAATTTTGATGATTTTGTCTATGGTAATTATCAAAGGTGACTTAAAAAGAACAATAATATTCTGATATTCTGTGGCCATGAACACATTGATTTCTCCTTACAAAAAAGTAAAAAGTATATTGAAGTTTGACCTATGCTTATACAATTATATGCCTTGAATATAACACATAGAGAGATTGGAAAGAAAGGCTTAAATGATGTTGTTCTGCATATTCTGATGCACCTAGAGGTGGTTTAGAATCGTGTGTGCATGCATCATTTTGCGTTGTTTTTTGGTTTTTAGGCTTTTTAGTGTAGTGACATTTTCCTAATTTTGTGTTTTTCATTTCAATTGTGTTTTAGGGTAATTGACACCTTATACAAGGGTGTTTAAGAATCCAATTGTGATTGCTGAATTTTCTATTATTTTTATAATCAATATGAGAATAAGGATTTCTCTATCAATCTTGATTCATCTATTTAGCCATTTTTTTGTGCGTTCCACATCATATTCTAATCATATCAAGGAACATGACCAAAAAAATAATTAATTGATCATTATGGTTATACCGTTTATGGTTAAGGTTTGTGATCACTGAATTTGGATAATTCATTACATTAGGGAATAGTTGTTGGCGTGAAAGTAACCAAGATCAACTTTTGATTGAAATTGGCCGATGAGAGAAATGATGAACATATAAGGAGCCGAATCATGTGTGAAGTTCAAAAAGAATGTTGCTATCTCTTCTCTCTCCCTTTGGCTCAGGGAAGAGGCAATGAAATGAGTTCAATTTACAATGTGAGAAATAATAAAGTTAATTACATGTACCACCAAGTAAATAGGAGCATGAAAGAAAAGAGTGGATAATACCTCATCAACAGAATGAATGTTGCGTTGGTCAGCTGTGTACATCACAACATCCTGAGAAAAAGAAAATAAATTAGAAAACCAATCATCCTAAAGTTAACAAAAGATAAACACAGTGAAATATTACTCATTTCGTACTTTGGATGATAGTAAATGAACATATTATAATTCACTAATGAAATTTACAGAACATATTATCTTACCATGGGAATATTAGCTGGAGATTAAATTACATTGATAATAATAATAATAATAATACTAGAGTGAAAACTCACTCCGGCCATGGGCATAATTGATGCTGGTTCACCATCTTGGAAGTGAAAGAGTCCACCATTGAAATCCTTCCCATAACTATTTAAGTAGCATACTGCCTTTCATAGCATTACCAAAAGAAAAACAAAAGCTGTCAGCAAGAATGTAAGCTATAACAGGAATTTAGTATCCAAAGAAGGGTTGAATACTACTCACTGAAAAGTGTCGTTGTTTGAGGTAGGGCCTGTTATCATCACTATGCCATCCAATGCTTGCTCCTCTGCTCCAGCTGATTCATAATACAATATCATTAAACAATATGATAAAAATGCTTACAGAAAGCAAGACATTGATCATTGGAGTGAGGTAACCAACCTGATTAAACCGGTGAATTCAATAAAGAGCTCATACTCACACTTGAAAAACTCCTCTAGCTTGTCTTTCAACCTTTCTGCCATCAAATTTGAAAAAAAAAATACAAAAATTCAAAAATCAAACGAATCAGAGTATAGCATTGAATTTCATTGAAATTCAAGAGATAATTAAATTCTGAAAAGAAAAAGAAAAAAGATGGAATTTTTATCTAGAATCCGAAAATGGGTTGTGAAAAAAAAAGTAATTTTGAATAATGGGTACCTCTGATGGGTACAAAAGGAAGGATGAAGTGGGAAGAGTTAGTAGCAATAAGATGGGAGAGAGTAGTTGAGAAGACATTGGGTCTGTAACCAACGGTGCTGCTACTCTTGTGGATGAATTCAAGCTCCTTCAGAAGGACATCATCCAAATCAGAATAGAAAAAATGGTGCATAATACATAGAGAGCAAAGAATTGAAACACCAAAGTTTTAACCTAAATAACTAACTAACCAACCTTGCATTCATCAAGGGAGAGCAAGTTGGGGATGATGAAGCGTGGGTGTTGGAGTTGGGCTTCAAATTCAACCTCTGACATGACAACTTACTTTGTCTTGTGTTTCATCAATCAAACATACACATTCACATACACATGTATTTTATTTTATTTTTCTGTTTGCTTCAACTTCAACCCCACGCTCCCACTTCGTCGTGGTTTAAGCAATTTAATTGAAATTCTGGAATAATAATAATAACAGGGGTAGGATATTCTTACACCGGTATAAGAGTTAGAAGTCTTACACTCAATCTTGACCATTGATCCACTTGTATCGAATGACTTGTATTATTAAAAAATTAGAGCCCTTAGATATAAATGGGATCAATGGACAAGATTGAGAGTGTAACTTACACTGGTGTAAAATGATCCTGATCCATAATAATAACATTAAAGGTAAACTAAACAGGATAAGATATTGTAACAACCAATTAGTATTACTATCAATGTTATTGTCAATCAATTTCACCGTTAGATCGATTATATTGATCCAACGACTATATTTATTTATGTCTTTGTATGGTTATGATTCCTCATATTTGATGTGAAAGTATTAAATATGGAGAATCATAACCATACAAAAGTGGAAATAAATATAAAGTATTAAATATCAAGAATCATAACCATATAAAGACAGAAATAAATATAACCGTTGGATCAACATAATTGATCTAACGGTGAAATTGATTAATAGTAACATTGGTAGTAACACTAATTGGTTATTACAATGGGCTTATCATTTCTCAAGCTGCTTGAGACAATGTTATCTCCGGCTACTAAATCATAACCGTACTGTTACGATCTGATAGATGGATATGTCCAATCAAAGATTGGTATGTTAATATAGGATCTGTTTGCCCTCCCTCAGGTACCTATAGGAGAGGTACCCTAAAGATAAGCGGATCACTGTGCACAATAATATAATGACATAGTCAAAGCGTGGGGTGTGTGCACAGTGCACAATAATATAATGACATAGTTTTCTGCTGAGCTGAGAGCGTTTGAGTTTTAGTAAACTTTTTGCATATATGTTCCTTACATCTCAGGCTTTTTAAACCGGGGTAGTCATTGCCCCTTATCTCGGCGGGTTGATCATAAACCATGTAAAACATTTCACGTATTTGTATACCGAGTTTGGGATGAGCTTGAGTGGTTGGTATCCAACAGCCGAGTTGCCCCCAAGCATCATTCCATACGCACATGTCCTGAGCTTGTAGCTTTCTTCTGGAACCGGGAATGATTTTCCCTTGTCAACTATGTGGACGGGTTATGCATGAACCCGACAAGATGTTCTGCGAATGTGCTTGAGTAGTTGGGATCCAACTGGCAAGTTGCCCCCAAGCATCATCCATGTGACCCGGATAAAAGTTGCCCCCCAGCCCAGTAGTTTGGTTGTCCAGGTTGCCGGGATGAAATAGCAGTAATCTCTACATTTGAATTTCCCTTGCAAATTTTATTCAAGTTAGTAGTTGAATTCTTGCTTTGACTTGGCATCTTTATTGAAGCAATTTTCTTTGGGTTGGAACTTTTCTTGGCCGACTTAATTTGGTCAGCGATTGCAGATATTATCTCTGTCATTCGTTCATCTGGTTTTAGCGAACCGAGTATTGAATATGTTGTTTTCATATTTCTCCCTCAACCTTTTTTGGCTGAGGTGGTGCTTTGGTGAGGCAATGTTTGCCTCCTTTTAACATCGAGCTCGTAGCTGTTCCTTCTGAGGCTTTCGCTTTGAGCCCAACTTCTTGCACTGTGGCTTTATTGATTCAGATTTAGCTTTTCAGCATTAACTGAACAAAATGACCTAGCCAATGTCTTTCATGCGGATTTCACTTTTTGCTTTTAACCCAATTTCCTTAATTAGGTTTTCAAATTTGAGGCGTCATGGTGACTTGATCAAGGTCGTACCAATATGCCCCTTATTTTTCAAGCCTGATTTGATTTATCACAGCTTGTACACATGTTGTTTATTTTGACAACATTTAGGATTCGAAAGCGTCCTTCCGTTTTCCTATGCCTCGGCTAGAAGCCATAGTTCTACAGTGTGTTTTTTATTTTTAACCCGTTTTCTATCCAGGTTCTTGCATGTTGCTAGACGTAGGTTTCCAATACCTTGACTTTATAATATTTGACGTATATGTCATTTATTAACTTCGTCTTGTTTCGTCGTTTTGACTTGTGAGCCATTTCAAATTGGGGCGTGATCCTTTTTCTAGGATCACATCTCTCCAAACCCGTCTTCATTTTATCGCAGATTGGGGCGTGATCCTTTTTCTCAGGATCTCATCTCTCCAAATTCGTCTTCATTCCATCGCGGATTGGGGTGTGATCCTATTTCGAGGATCCCATCTCTCCAAACCTGTCTTCATTTCTTTACCCCATATTTTTATCATGGGTCTTTATCCCGGATTGGGGTGTGATCCTTTTTCTAGGATCACATCTCCCCAAACCCGTCTTCATTTTATCGCGGATTGGGGCGTGATCCTTTTTCCTAGGACCCCTTCTCTCCAAACCCATCTTCATTCTATCGCGGGTTGGGGTGTGATCCTTTCTCTAGGATCACATATCTCCAAACCCGTCTTCATTTTATCGCAGATTGGGGCATGATCCTTTCTCTAGGATCACATCTCTCCAAACCCGTCTTTATTTTATCGCGGGTTGGAGTGTGATCCTTTTTCTAGGATCACATCTCCAAACCCATCTTCATTTTGTTGCGGGTTGGGGCATGATCCTTTTTCTAGGATCACATCTCTCCAAACCTGTTTTCATTCTTTATTCAAATTTTTATCCTGGGTCGTTGCCCCTCAGTCTGAAAGTCTAGGTGTTCGAGATATAGGGTTTCTACGCATTACTCTTTTATCGCATTTGCGAATATTTTATTCTCCGTGTCTGGAAGACATCCATGTTCATGGTCCGAGCCTTTGTTTTGTGATGTATGGCTTCAACTTTATGTCGAATTCTTTCTTCAGACATCCTTCTTTGCTTTCCTACCCGGTAGTTAGGGTGTCCAAAGCGAAGTCTATTGAACCATAATCTTGTTGGTCAAACTTTCATGACCGAGGTCTCTATTGGAAGTAGGAAAGTTTTTCCCTTTGACTTCTTTGCCGAAGTTTTATTACTGTCGTCGGGATCGTGGCGGTTCACTGATCCATGTTCTGAATTCATGGATTCTTGTCGATCCGTGTTTTGGATTTATTTTTCCTTATTTCGTTCTTTCTTCGGTGTCGGGCCTCATGAGTCGGGTACGGTGTATACTATTTAAACATTCCTCCCTCCACCTTTTTGGTCGAGGTACGTAGCTCGGACTAGTTGACCAGTCTTTTTGACTGTCTTACCGATATCTTGAAGTATAAGGATTGCTGCTTTTAATTTTGGTTGCATTCCTGCACTTTCCCCCCAGTTCGACAGTCGGAAATCCGGGTTGTCGGGTTGTAGTACTTTAATTCAAGCATTTTTATGTCGGAATACTGACTTGCCTTAGCAATTTGCCTTTTTTGCTGATCTGAGGATCTTTGAGATCCTTTTTCACTCATGTTGCGGGGTTTTGTTCCCTATTCTCCGCATGTTTCGTTTGCCGAGTTGAATTTAGCCCAGTTTATATACTTTAGCTTTATTCACTTGAGCTCGGCTTTGCCAGAATCTCGTTGGGATATCGTCTTCTGTTTCAACCCGGCTTTGCATACCGTGTGTTTCACAGATTTTGATTTGATCAAAATCATTCACCTTTTTGAGTCTGGCTTGCATTGCCGTGACGTTCAGATAGAACGGGGTGAGACTCCCGCTGAATGATTTTTCCTTTATACTCGCATCTTGAGTTTTATGCCTCCCTGATAACTTAGATATATTTTTCTAAGTATTCGAGGTTCATCAGATTCCAGAGTTGCCTGAAGTATTCGTTAAATACTTCTAAGGACTTAGCATTCTCTTGATTTTGATAAACAAACGTGTATACTTGTTATCTAGGTTTGTAACCTAGGATATTTTCTAAGAATATCAAACCTTACTCGAGTTGTCCCTCATTCGAGACGGGTTGTTTTTACAACTCGAATAAATTCTTATTTTCGCAACTCGTGCATTTTACAAGTTCTGGTATATTGACCTGGCCGAGGTCAAAGCATTATACGGATTCCACTTTTTGTCACTCTTTGTGACGCATGTTTGTTTTTACTTAACGTTTTGTCAAGTCAGCATTGATGAAGGTGGTCATTATCGCCTTCAATCATGACCTGGGTTTCATAACCAGGTACTATCCAAGATAAAGGCCGTATTGTCACATGTCCCACTTGGGTCTTTCGACCTTAGTATGGAGCATTTCGACTTGATCAGAGTCGGCGTGAAAAATTGCGCTTGTATCTCAGATTTGTGTCGATGCATCAGAAACACAAGGATCCATATTTACGAAGGTATCTAATTGTTCCCTCGTTTTACTTTAACCTGAATTCGTATACCGTTGTTTTATAATATCCAACTCGGCTTTTTGCCTGGGTTTCAAGGCATCATGATGACTTGATTAGTGTCGCTTCAATCTGCCCTCTTGAATTTTAGTTCAGTTTGGATTACGGAAGCGTTCTCCCGCTTTCCTTGAACCAGGCTTGATGTCGCATGTATGCATTATTCTTATGTTTGAACCCGGATTGGTCCATCTTCCAATTTATATCCTGGATTTATTTCTATCCCGGATTAGATCTCGCCATATCCGTCTTCGTTTTATTTCCGATTTGTATCTCAGATCTTTATTTCTATCCCGGATTGGATCTCGCCATATCCGTCTTCATTTAATCTCCGATTTGTATCTCGGATCTTTATTTCGGATTGGATCTCGCCATATCCGCCTTCAACTTGGATTGGATTGGATCTCGCCATATCTATCTCCATTTAATCTCCGATTTGTATCTCGGATCTTTATCTCGGATTTGATCTCACCATATCCGCCTTCAACTTGGATTGGATTGGATCCCGCCATATCCGCCTCCATTTAATCTCCGATTTGTATCTCGGATCTTTATCTCGGATTGGATCTCGCCATATCCGCCTTCAACTTGGATTGGATTGGATCTCGCCATATCCATCTCCATTTAATCTCCGATTTGTATCTCGGATTGGATCTCACCATATCCGCACTTCAACTTGGATTGGATTGGATCTCGCCATATCCGCCTCCATTTAATCTCCGATTTGTATCTCAGATCTTTATCTCGGATTGGATCTCGCCATATCCGCCTTCAACTTGGATTGGATTGGATCACGCCATATCCATCCTCATTTAATCTCCGATTTGTATCTCGGATCTTTATCTCGGATTGGATCTCACCATATCCGCCTTCAACTTGGATTGGATCTCGCCATATCCACCTCCATTTAATCTCCGATTTGTATCTCGGATCTTTATCTCGAATTGGATCTCGCCATATTCATCCCCATTTAATCTCCGATTTGTATCTCGGATCTTCATTTCTATCCCGGATTGGATCTCGCCATATCCGTCTTCATTTTATTTCCGATTTGTATTTCGGATCTTCATTTAATTAACCATTTCTATCCCGGAGGGCCGGTAAACCATTTATATCCCGGAGGGCCGGTCTTCATTCTGACTTGGCTTCTTTTGTCGAAGCCTTATATTTAAGGAGACACATTTTGCCTCTTTGAATTGCATTGCTTCTTATTCTTGCATGGCTTTTTAATTTGGGCCCCACTTCTTTTGCAGTGCCATTTCATCTGAACCTGGTTTCATTTGCCGTGGTCTTTTCATTTTCTCGAGCCCGGCTTCTCATGCCTCGGCTCTTTTTTCAGCTTGGCTTCTTTCGCCCAAGTCTTGCATTCATCTAGGTGGATTTCCTTCCTTATTTGAATGGATCTGGATCTCCTTCTCTTTTTTAGAAGGGATCTCCACATCACCTGTTTGATTATTCTTAGCAACATAATAAAGTACGAAGTAGGAAATTAGCAATAAAACTGATTCAATCAGCAATCAATAATTATCCAAGTGTAATCAGATAATAATTGCAATCAGCAATTAATAATAATTGACCGGCATCAATCAACAATTAATATTAGTTGACCATATTTCATGCTATTAATTTTGATTGAGCATCCATCATGAAGGCTCCATGCTCCCCAATTTGTTGATCCATGAAACTTAGGGAACGTGGCCTCATTGTTAATCCCGATGCTCTTTTTGTCGTAATATTCAAAATATTTGTCGTCCTGCTTTTGCCAACATACATGCATAACAATTTTGACCAGAATACATCTCGTATATCAATGCTTATGGAAATTTCATAGCATATAAGAATTTGGTCAAGCATGAAGTCATATATAATCACGATAATAATTTTTGTGATATAAAAGTAAGGAAAAGAATGCTTCCTTATTATTCTGTAACCATCTTGCTTGCAATAGAGGACGGTTCCTGCAGTGGGAGTAACATAAACCAGCTCGGGTTTTTTTAATTTGGGCCCATTAGCATGGTTCCAGCGTGTTATTCTTGATCTCGGCTCTGGTTATGATGCTGAGCTGCCATATTTATTGAAGCCTAATCCCGACTTCAGTAATGACTTGGCCGAGATGCTTATTATTGGATGTTATTCAATCCAACTCCTTTGTATTCTGCATATCAATTACCCATCTTTTATTTGGGAAACTTGTTAGTGGTTTCCCATCAATAAAATTATCTACTTGAGTAGATCGTGCCGGTATAATATCTCGACAATTGAAGATAAATGAGAGAAAATATCTCCTTATCTGACTTATATTTCCAAATCCAGTATTCCAAGCGTTTTGTTGACAACGGTATTGCCACTCTTAGTGCTACCATGAAGCACTTTGATTTATTGTATTTGCTACAAGAAGGCAAATTCAATTGCAACCACAAGGACATCGGGTCCCGCAAGCAATGGTTCAACAATATATAATGTTTAAATAATGTCTCTCAATTTGAGATGCAACAATAATAATATATATTGTAAACCAATGTTAGAAAATGCCATGTGTATATAAATATGCATATACATATTTATATATATTAAATGTTGTATTAAATACATTATGCCAATCAAGACAAATCTTCGATTTGTCCTCAGATTACTCCCAAAGCATTCAATTTAATCAGGTTTTAATCAAAGGCTGTATTAAATACATTATGCCAATCAAGACAAATCTTTGATTAATTTTATCATATATCGATATAAAATATTAAAAAGGTGAATCCTTTTATCAGATATCGATATGAAAGATTAAAAAGGTGGATCCTTTTATCAGATATCGATATGAAATATTAAAAAGATGGATCTTTTTATCAGATATCGATATGAAATTTTGAAAAGATGGATCCTTTTTTTCCTTTTTCATGTAAATTTAGAATTTAAAAGGAAGGAGACTTAGCTCTTTGCTTGATTTGCCCCTTTCTTTTTAACCTCGATCTCGGCCACAATCTCGTCTGGATCTCAACCACGATTCCGATGACAACGGTGGTTACGACCTTGATCTCGGTTTCATCATGCTCGTTGAGATTGGCTTTCGTATCTCGGATTATGAAGTCGGTTCGCCTTGAGCTATTGATGAGCTTCATTTTTTCCTTTTGCGTCCATTGTATTAGGATTTGGTTAGTCGGCGTCTTTAACGCTTTTACCCCATTTGGGTGGGAATCGAATTTTCTCGTTCTCCACAGACGGCGCCAATGTTACGATCTGATAGATCGATATGTCCAATCAAAGATTGGTATGTTAATATAGAATCTGTCTGCCCTCCCTCAGGTACCTATAGGAAAGGTACCCTAAAGATAAGCAGATCATTGTGCACAATAATATAACGACATAGTCAAGGCGTGGGGTGTATGCACAGTGACAAGCTAAGAGAGAGGGTTTAGAATGTGTGTACCTTATTGGTTTAACCCCTTATTTATAGATGGGTTATCTAGCAGGAGTGGACTTTTGGGCCTCTCAGGAGCATTGGGGGTCCAATTGTTGATTCGTTGCTGTCGTAGTAGGATTAGCATAATTAAATAATGTTTCCTTAATTCCCTCTTAGTTGTTAGCCCTATTTGGGCCTTCTAGAATGTAGGCTTTTGTCAGGTCCATAACACGTACAAAGATGGATCAATGGTAATAAAGGAAGAGAGAGAAAGATAGAATCATAACCATTCAAAGGTGAATCAATTAATATAAGAAAATAAATAAATAAAACGACGTAGTTTTGAAATGGCCGGAGATAACATTGTCTCAAGCAACTTGAGAAATGTTTTTCCCTATTACAATATCCTTCCCCAAACTAAATATAGTAGAGTAAAAATATATTTTATATTTTTAATAGAACACAACTTAATTGTATATTTATTCAATAAAAATATCAGAAAGATATGAATCCGCTTTTGTCTCATGGTGGTTTAGGGTGGCTTATAGCAGGATTAAAGAAGAACAATTTATTATTTGTGCGATAATAAAATATTTTCTAGAAAATATGATATGAATATAGGCGAAAGGCCCAGTATATCAGTAAATTAGAATGTAATTTATCATTGCAACTAAATATAACAAAGTAATATAAAGTAAATTTCTCAAGTAAGAACCTACTAAAAAAAATTCTCAGATAAGATAAACTTAAACAAAGAAATGATATAGCGTCATATCCGTAAAAATAAATAAATAAAAAATTTAAACAACAACGGGACTGAATGAGTTGTCCACGTTACGCGATTTATCTGCATTCTAATAGAAATAATCAGATTAGTCTGGAGGTCATTGTGAGTTGTTCGATTGAACATGCTAAATCCGTTAAGATTATATAACTATACTCCGTCACTCTCGTATTCCAATATACTATAGGACACACTCTAAAATGATCGTTTGCATCAATTTTATTTTATAATTGAGATCAAATTACTTTATTTTTATTTAATTTATATTAAAATAAGTATTTATGATTCAAATGTATATCAAAAGCTAAATATTTATTCTAAAGTTTATCTTGTAAGATTTGACACTAGACTCTTGGTCGACAAAGAGTTTAGTATTGGATGGAGTGATGTAATAGCTAATTTCCTTCTAGCTTTGGCTTTGATAATGTCTAGCGGTTTGTTATTACTCCGAATCCCATTGACTTCAATTTCCACACAACATAATGTGCATGATAACTATAGCCCTGTTTTTAAAGAAAAAATATATTTTTGTATTTCTATACTTAAAGAAATATTTCTAGAAAAAATATATTTTATAACTTAATTCATTTCACTACATTTAATAAATAGTATATCAGAAAAAAAAGAAAGTAAACAAAAATATCTTTTAAATTTTTATCAATTTATATTCCTCGACTACAAAAACATTTTTCGAACATTGACATACACATCGTGTTTAACTCCTCTAACTCTAGGTTTCCAAAATTGCGCCGTATTGCTAATTATCCAATCGATGGATTTCAGAGGGAAACACTGAACCTGTTATTTATGTATGGTAATGTAAGAGTTATTTTTTAGAGAAGAATATTATTATTTTTCAAAAATTCCGTCCAAAAAAAATATTACCACTAATACAAACACGCATTTAATAAGCTGATGATTTCATTTTCGATAGAATACGTCACCAACTTCAAATTGATTTCAAGGCATATCAGCAGCAAGATGAATTTCGAAATAATAGTAATAATAACAATAAAGATAGGAAAAGCAAAAATTAGAATTAAGAATGGGTTTACCTTAACGTAAAGAGTTAATATAGTAAGACAACAAAAAGGAATCGGAGCAAACAAAGGATTTTGAAGAGAACCAAAAAGTTCTGCAACCTTCCCTTGTTCTCTCCTTAGCAGTATGGTGATATCTCGAATGTTGCCGCGCTTTACATTTGCTTCAAACTCATGTCAAGTTCGCATCCTACCCCTTTCCTTTGATAAGCTTTCTCTCTCTCTCTCTCTCTCTCTCTCTCTCTCTCTCTCTCTCTCTCTCTCTCTCTCTCTCTGTTTATATATATAAAACCAGGCAAAGCTCAATGGTTTTCCGCAGCTTTGTCATCGCTATCCTGCTCTGCCTCAACTTGACTTTTATCCACATGTCCATTGCATTCTTGCTTTTGCATTTTCCCTTTTGGGGAAGCACTTGTACTATTATGATTTGATTTCCCATTTTCCTTTTCCACTATGGTTGGAGTTTCCACAGTCAAATTAGTACCTCCTGGACCTGGTAAGTGTTGAGATGAATTACCTGAGCCAGGTGGAGGTAAGAAGACCCCTGTGCCAGGAGCAGGGATTCGAGGAGGGGGATGCCGCGGCGGAGCCGCTGTCCATCCTGCAGAACCAGGTGGTGGGATAGGCACAGGTGCAGGAAATGGCATGGGAGGAACAACTGGAGCGGTAACAAACAATGGCTGCATCCCATTTGGAGGTGGAATTTGTGGTCGAATTGGCGGAGCTGGCAGTACTCCAGTTGTTGGAACCGTGGCATAATGCTTGGGGCCTAAATGATGACGCATGTGATTGGGAGATCGGCTTGATGGTGGACCCCAATGAGAAGCAAGACGTTGAGCATCACTTGGCAGTGACTTTCTTGGTTGGGACTTTGTGAAAGTAACAAGTATGCGTTGTTTACGGATTGAAGGAATAGCATGTTTGGCAAAATCAGTGGATTTCCCTTGCATAGACAGAAGGGACCTACAGAAGCCAAAGCATAAAATCAAATCAGATTTTAAGCATAGAATCTATCTCAATAAGGGTAGACGAATTTCAGATTGAAGTATGACATCAAAACATGTAGCTCTTCCCTCACATACTGAATTCTGCACACCCAGAATGCATCATACACAATAAATAATACTGCAAGAACCTACTCTCACACCAAAATAATAATAATAATACTAATATTATAATAATCAAAGTCAGCATGCCCTACAAGGGTTTTCCAACTTAACAATCACCTCCATGAACAGAATGATCAAAAACTTCTTAAGTTCCACAGGAGCTCATTCATAGACAAGTGGGCTCCTTGTAATAGGTAACAGTTGAAACTTGAAAGGTTTCTAATTGTGAAGACACAACAATGAGAAAGACAACAATTGTGAATTACATATGAAGTTACCAGAGCCAAATTACAATTATTAATAATTAATAATGTAGTAGAAAAATAGATGCCATCTCTAAGAAAGAGAGAAATGAATTTGTATGCAAAGAACTGCAGATGTTAATATACACATTAAAATAGAATTTTTATTTTGATTGGAAAAAAACCCAAAATTCATAGAAGTTGAGGCATAAGGTCTCCAGACATACGCAGGTAAAATAAAGGAATATATTATCAATTACAAAATTCGAAACTAATATCTTTTACTTCTAAAACCATATATTCATAAACAAAAACTCATGAAAAAAAAAAATGTCTTCGTCCATGTGCATTTGGAGATGCTATAAAGCCAATCAAGGCAATTCACTCAGGAAGAATTTACTCAACCAAATACCTACTAAGGACTGATCTAACCACAACCTAGACTACTAATAATTTCTATAGAGTAAGACATTTCTTTATTAAAATGCCACAAATTTATTGGTATCCACAAGGCAAAGATTATACTATACACAAAAATAATATTAAAATACAAACATCAGATGCATTATCATAGAAAAAGACAAGGTCAACCGGCATTACCCCGGGATGAGTGAAAGCGTGTGAGTGCCCCTATAATCCCCAGGATGGTCTGAGGCAATTACTCTTCCAAAAGTCATTTCACATTCTGTCAGGAAAAGGATATGAACAGGCCTTCCATACCAAGGTGGCCAATTGTGGGGCTGTGAGTGATCACCCTATATACAATTGTGATACCAGGTTGCCTTAGCAAATTTGATGCCAATATATAAAACCCAACCAAATACAAAATACAACAAATCAAGAATCAACCTCATTATAGAAATCCACGATGCAAGCATCAGGCTTCACAGTCATAACTTGCGAGGAAACCATGCGCTCAATAATATCTTGAAATGAGGAAGGGATGGGTTCTGCATTTATATCTGCCAGATTCAATTTGTGGAATTTAAACAATCATTATCACTGTGGTAATAGACAGATAACGTGGCTGCAAATAAGAAACGAGTGAACTATAGTAGATTGGTATCAAAAGAAGATCACATGATATAAAATGCCTTTGGAGGCCCGTCATACCATCTGGTGGTGCATCAGCGATGGGAACACCCAATTGAATCATCTCCCTTCCATGCCCTTTCATGGGCCTTCTCGAAACAACATATGTCTGACTTCCTGCTTTCAAAAAATATTTAGAAACTAACAAATATTTTAAAAAAAATAGTTTTACATAATCTGTGAAATGGTGACAACAAAGCAGAAATTATTTACCAGCAAGATGATATAAGTTCTAACAATGATACATCAACATTTATGTATTGCAAGTGCACAGTTATCAAATTGAGCATCAACCAACACGCCAATGTCAGATAAAATACAGTGATAGGGTGATATCTATTCTTTGTGCTCCTTCTCTCTCTTCTTCTCATTTGTCCCTAGCAAACCTTATTGCCCAATTCCTGTGTTGTATGCTAATGTGTTCTCACAGCTCCTCAACAAATTTTTATCATTACAAACATAAAATTAATGGTGGTGACTGTCATAGTAAATAAATAAATAATAAGACCTAGACCAATATTCTTAGGCATATAGATGAATATCACAAGGGTCACAAAATGTATATTAAAATAAGTATGATTTACATTGAGCAAACTTAAGTCATAACTTATGACTCATGTACTACTCTACAGTTGTTAGTCACTGAGAAATAGTGCCAGCTGGTTCTCTGTCCAAGACAATTCAACTACTAATACAAAACAAAGACAGAAAAATAAATACAAGTCAACCACCTTTTTACCCAAAAATCTCTAACTTCGAGAACATGGGCAGGGAGGCTGTGATAGATTCAACAAGAGATAAGAGAGAATAAGGAAAGAATACCAGCACAACATAGCATTAAACTGGAAAATATGGAGTCCAGTATACCAAGTTTGACAGAGACAGCAAATTAAAGCTGAAGATGAGCAGAAACAAGATAGCAAAATGGAAGATTAACAAGAATGAAAGCAGAGCCCTTAGAGATTCTCTGAGTATCTCCCAAGGCCAGTCCAAATACACCCAAAAATGACCAAAAATGCCTACAACCACCTTCCTCTCCTTATTTAACCACCCCACATTCCCATTCGATTTAGCCATATTCTGCTGCAGCATTTTGAGTGCTGACTCAGCAGGGGTCCATACTCTCATGTGCTTGTTCTAGTGTATAACTTGATTGGCCAGTCCTTATTTAGTTGGGCCGTACTATCAGGCTGTCATGTATATGGCCACACCTATTTACTATCAATCAAGTAAAATTGGAAAGGGAAGCTATCAAGTGGATTTTTATTGAAGTCAGAGAGGAAGGGAGAGAGAGAGAGAGGTCAGAACAATTGATTGATTGCGAGAGCGAGAAGAGAATCAGAGAATTATAGGGCTTGTTTGATTGTGTTTTGGATTTTTTGTTCTTAAAACTATTTTGTAGAATAGTTATAGAAACAGTTGTTTTTTGAGATTTTTTTGTTTTGAAAATTAAAAACCAAAACAAAAAACAAAAATAACCCAGACATATTCTCTAAATTTGATTCTAAAAAGAGTTACAGTTTTAAAACATTTTTTACAAAACAGGCCTTACCAAACGGGTTTTTTTGTTTTTTTTGTTCTGAAAACTAAAAAACTGTTTTTAAAAACAGTAATCAAACAGAGCTATAGGAAAGGAAGCTTCTTCTTCTTTATTCCCTTCAGCCATTTGGCCTTTACAACAAAGATTTAAATGCTAAAATGGTAAAGACAATTAATGCTATCCCGAATTGATACCAATCAGGATTAATTGGTACTATTCTAATCTTTTTATTAATGAATGCTAATAAATGTCCAACACTCCTTCCCTCGTCAAACGTGATTTGTCCTCAAGCGAGACGCAGCATGTGGCATGTGAAATGGGTCAGGTGGATCCTGTTTGACAGGCTGAGGCAGTAGGGAGTAGCCCTACACAGCACAAAGACCCTCCAAATATAAATGGGCCAAGTTCATTGGAAGGTGGCGGCCGCTGGGAACCATGTATCAGAAGACCAGGTGCTGGGGCTGTGGGTCGGAGGTCGGCCTTGAGAGACTCATCCCTCTTGTCTAGTAAAACAATGAGGGTTTCCACTGTCAGTCGTTTGTTCCAGAACATGGTGAAAGAGGCCTACAACTCTGAAAATCTGGCATAATTCTGCTATGGCCTCCTCATTCTCTTGAGACCGTGTCACAGGCATGATGAAAGTCAGAGTCTATGAAAGCACCAATATGTTAAATGGATTTTTATTGAAGTCCAAGGGAGAGAGAAAGATGAGAACAACTGATTGATTGCGAGAGAGAGAGAAGAGAATAAGAGAATTATAGGAAAAGAAGTAATTTCTTCTTCCTTATTCCCTTCAACCATTTAGCATTTATAACAAAGATTTGAAATGCTAAAACAGTAAAGACAATAAATGCTGTTCCTAATTGATACCAACCAAGATTAATTCATACTAATCTAACCTTTCTAGTAATGGATGCTAATAAATACCTAACAGAAACCATGATAGAATCGTCCATTATGAAGATAGAACAAACATATAGAACACTTACCTTGAAATTGTCCTCTTTTCCCAGAAGCCCTTAGATCATTGACCAATGAAAGAAGTTTAGAAACTTCAGTGCCATCAAATAAATCTTCATACAACTTCAATCCATCAACCACATTCACCTGAAAATGAAAAAAAATTAAAATAAAATGAAGGTACACCTTAAAAAGAAGAAAATTATGAGAAGGTATATACACAACCCGAAACAATGACATGAAGAGAAGTGAAGAATTATTTAAAGGGCCCTACCGTCTTCCCATCAAACATTTCATTGCCAATAAAAGTTTTTGCTATGGTAGAAAGATTTTGGCTCTGGTGTTGAGTTTCCATAGAATGTGAGTCATTCGCTGGGAAAACATTGTACAGGAGTTAAGTTTAAATGGTAAACAAACATAGAACAAGAAATCTGCATAGAAAACTATGTTTATAAGCTGACTCTGATCCCATAAGTACATGAGATGTGACTCTATCTGGGTATGGTCTAAATCAAGCAAGGGAGTAAGTACTTAGATTCTTCTATTCGGCACACAAATTTATACGCATATTGCATGCATGTGACAAAGACAGGGGAAAAAGTGTAAACTGTACAGAGTCTGAGCATTATTCACTTAGTTCCTAAACTTCATGCATGCAACTAGCATAGTCTGCTGCCCTCTACTCTTTAAGTTCAATAAGATATATCTTCACTCAAATCATAATCAGCAAGAACAAAACCTTTAGAATTTGATATGCATCCATCATTTACAACCACAGCTTCGGATTCTGAGTTGGACAGAGACCCTTGAGAACTCCCTGAGTTCTTCAAGTTGCCATCAGTTTGATGCTTTGTTATAATATCTGCTCAAGAAAGCAAGAGAGCAAAAAATTTAATAGACTGCAGGCAATGGTAGTGTACTAATGATCTGTGAACTTATCCATTCCCTTGTCATTAATCGAACAGCAGGAGACACAAGATCATAAGAAACAAACAAAAAAAGAAGCCTTAATTATAAGATTCAAGATCAACAATTTAAATATTTTGTCAGAAACAATTGGTACTTCCATCGTTGCCTTTCACCACAAAATCCAGTATGATACTATATCCCACTAGTACCTAGCCTTTCCATAATGTCTATGAAAGAAGAGGTTCTTTACTTTCCCCCTATCCAAGTTGGCATTGCTAATTACTTAGATATTAACACATGCATAAAATGATCTCATTATCTCCACCGAATTTTCTACAAATTGTTGCTATCAGGCCCTACAAAATAATATATGGCTCTATCTGGAAGACCAAAAGTGGGCACCAAAAGAAGCCAAATTGAATAAAACTGCTATCTTTTAATTTAAATCACAATGGTGCACTCAAATTATAATGCCTATATTCAGTATAATACAAGGATGAGTCAATTAATTATAACAAACGCACCAGAAACTCAATCTACTAACTAAGCTTTTAACATGTTTAGCTTCAAGAAAGAAAGGTTCAATCCAGTAATGTCACTATCACTTGGATTATAATGAATGCGACAATCTGAAGTAACAACATTCACCCAGTGGTCAAAGATTCACCGTGCTGTAGTATTTTAACATACAGACCGACTGACTCATTGTTTACCTTTCTTCTCCTCAGCAGATGCTAAACCCTTATCATCCATCTTCCCAACCTTGCCATCAGATTTAAGTTCTTCACTCTTCTCAGCAAGTGGAATGCCTTTCTCTGCACCTCCAGCAACCACGGTGTTCGCCTCATGACTATAAGACTCTACACTAGAATTATAACCTTCCTTTGCAGCCTCAAACCTATGCCCTTGCCTATATCCTGAACCAGATTTCCTAACATCCTTTGTACCTACTTTCACTGGATCCAGATACCTCTGCTGCCTCTTCCAAGCCACTTGCTGCAGTGCATACACCACTTCAGCCACCGAAAAGTATTGCTGCATAAGCAGCACCTGAGTCCAATTACATCTCCTTTGTTGAATGGTCCCAACGACCATATCATACTCGCCAGGGTCACCAACTACACGTAAATGATGACAAAGTGAATCTATGATCGCATTGGCAGCTGCGAATTCGCTTCGCAGCCAACCAATAAGACTATCCCTCTCATCAACATACCATTGCTGGCGGTAGTGTTGCTGGTGGATCTCACCACCACCGACAGCACCACTACCACCACCACCACCACTTGGAAACTGCATTTTGTCCTGTATTACCACATTTCCCGATGGCATTGCCATGAGAACTCGCTACCAAGAATCCACTACAACAGCATATAAAGCACAACCCAACACAACTAGATCTAAAAAAAGAAATAACACGAATAAACAGCTCAATTCAAAGGGACCCCACAAAATGAAAATGCAGAATTTAGAACAATTAAAGTAAAAAGAAGCAAACTTGTTTAGAAACAAGACTAAACCAACAGTGATTCAGGCCAAAAAAGAGTAAAGATAAAAAAAAAATAAAGAATTTGCAAAGCGATCAGGCAAAATTTGTTGAATTGGATTAGATCTAGCAATGGGGGTTTGAATGGAGTTGAGATTTGTTGAGTTGGAATGACGCAAAGGGAGGAGGAGGTTGAAGAATGAAGATCTAGGGTTAATGAAGAATTTGGGAATGGCTTATTGAGCACGCATGTGGCATGTGGCATGTGGCATGCGTATGTAAACTATGTATGTTATGTATGGTCTTAAATGGTGGCTCACATTCACAATCATAAGTCACGACACAACAAAACAACACTCTCTCTTTCTCTTTCTTATTTGTTAGGGTACATTTGGTACTGGTCGACTGGTGGGTGCTGAATTTGGATTTCTCAAGAGAATATTCTTGAAGAAAATGGGGGTTTTCGTCATTTTACTCTCTGAACCGGGATTGTTACGATATTAATTCTCTTGGATTTGTCTAATTATGGATGAGAAAGAATTGAGTTATACCTTATTCTTTTCAAACTTAATTTGTTAAGTACTTGATTAAGTTTGTTTGTTTGTTTTACTAAATTGACAAGTTCAAGTTCAATTTCAAGTTCAAATTTAAACTTAATTACTATAATGAGTTAAGTTCAATCTTAGATTTTGTATTTTTAAATAAGTTAAATTTAAACTTCAAATACTTGATAATTCCACCTTATTATCATGATTTAGTCACCGAAAATAATTTATTTTCTATAATTCTAAAATTATGTAATGTTAAAATCGAAAGAAAGACATTTTTATAATTTTTAATTTATTTTAAAATTATATTAATTTTGAAATAACCGGTGATAATCTTTATCTACGGAATAAGCATTAAACTATTATCAAGAAAGCTGTAACAATATGTAATCAAGCCTTTATTAGGAGATTCTGATCATCTGTAATCAAGCCTTTATTTAAGGCACCTTTATTAGGAGATTATGTTAATATGTTAGGATTATTAGGAGATTCTGATCAGTTTGTAATGGCTCTTTATTAGGAGATTCTGATCATCTGTAATTAAGCCTTTTTATTTGATTCTGATCATCTGTAATCAAGCCTTTTTATTTAAGGCGCCTTTATTAGGAGATTCTGATTTTTGTAATCAAGTCTTTATGTAAGGCTGCAATCTGTAAATGAAAAGTGTGCACTTCAATTCAAACAGTTTTTGTTATGGTATCATGAGCCTATCGATCTAGCTTCCTTATTTTTTCTTCTTTCTTCAATTTTTTTCAGCCAAGAACCATGGCTGATAGAACGTTCAAAATAACTGACCATCGGTCTCCTTTCTACACTCATTCATCTGATAGCCCTGGTATTCTCCTTACCACTGTCTTGCTCCGTGGTCAATCAAACTACGACAATTGGGCTAAATTGCTCAAAACTGCCCTCAAAGCCAAAAATAAGCTTGGTTTCATGACGGAGATATCATGGCCCCAAAGGATGACAAATCCGACGAGTTTTTTGCCTGGACTCTATGCAATTCTATGTTGAATAGCTGGATCCACAATACCATTGATCCTCAATTACAACCATTTATTAAATGTTTTGATACTGCCAAATAATTATGGGATGACTTGAAGGAACGTTTCTCCATCTCCAATGGTCCTCGTATTTTCCAACTAAAAAGCACTATGTCCTCCCTACGACAAAATGGCTCCTCTATGGCAGACTACTACACCAAACTACGAGCCATTTGGGATGAACTGGAGACTAGTCGGTCCCTACGCCGTTGCACAACAGGTGCTGCTTGCGAATTTACAAAGTCTGTTGCTGATGAAACAGAACAGAACCATGTGTATCAATTCCTAATGGGTCTTGATCATGCTACTTACGGTCATGTGCGCACCCAAATTTTGAATACCAACCCACTTCCTACCATGAACTGGGTTTTGCAATGCTCTCACAAGAAGAAACTCATTAGTCTATAGTCTCTTCCACTGCAGAACCTGCTGAGGCCTTAGGCTTTGCTGTGCAACGTCAACACTCCTCTATGGATGGCACTGAATCTTCCAAGCCCAAAGTCGTTTGCACTCATTGTGGCAAACCATACCATGATGTCACCCAATGTTACCAACTTCATTGCTATCCCCTCTTTTGCACTTCAATTCAAACAGTTTTTGTTAACTATTTTAATAATTATTATTTAAAAAATTTAGATTTTTGTCTTACACATAAAAGAAAGCGCCACACTCTTAGAACTATAATTAACCATTGCTTGCATTAGGACATGTTTTTAAGTTCAACGTGACGTGTGGTGGTGGGCTTGAAGTATCGCCACTATCGGAATAGCAGTATCATCTGGTTTTTGTATTCAAACACAAATTCGTGATATTTCTCATGTTTCATTTTCTTACTCGGAATTATTATTTCATTTCTCTCTCTCTCTTGGTCTTCGATTGTCTTCAATGTTAGGTAACTTTAATCAATATTCCGATTCCTCAAGCAAACGTTAATCTCTCTCTCTCCTCAATAAATACTTACATAAATTTGAATGCAATTAATTAATAGCGTGCAGTCATAATTAATTAGTTATTTTAGTTAATAGTAAATCACTCTCTTCATTTATATAATTATGACGTTAAAATTTCACTTAAAAATTAAGAATGTCATTATATACTCTTGGTTTTAAAGAAATATAAGTTTATCTAAGTCTATTATTTTCTCACTTCATTAATTCTATCTTATTTCACTCAGTAAAAAATTAAAAGAATAAAATAAATTTGAAAAATAATAATAATATCTTCTTAATTTTTTAAAATGATATGTTTTAAAAAAAATTATAATATTTAAAATATTAATTATTTAAAACGAATGAAATATATTTGATTAAATAAATATATTCAATTTTGGTGTACCAGGGAACATGCTATGGTGCACTCAAGCATATAATTGCTTGAACTCTTATGCACGGTTGACTTTAATTGTTTATTATTATTTGTAAAATATAAAGACACAAATCTTTAGACTTTTTGACTGATCCAGTCGATTCTGCCTTTGTGCTCACGCACTCCTGATCGTTTCTAAGCATGATCCTAGGTTCATACAGGAATTTTTCTCTTTATTTCCAAAAAAAAAATTAATTAATTTTTATTTTAGTTTGCTAGCGAATGTCTTACAGCATATGTTAAGAAATATTCATTATTTTTTATTAAGTCATTATATCTATGGCTTAAATGTTTCTACGTATAATACAGATAAGTTAGTTATATTTACTCTCAAAACGACATCGTTTTGAGTTGAAAGATTAAAAAATTATAATAATAAAAATTATTATAACTTTGAAATAAACTATAATTACAAAAATACATTGATTTTCGCCCTAAAATGACATAGTTTGAGCTCAATGCAAATAACTTATTTACATTTATTGCAAAAAAAATGAACCATGTATTTATATTCCAAAGCATGAATAGCTCGTTTCTATGACAATGTCGAGTTCACTTCTAAAATTAAAATAGTGTGTTTTAACGCGTTGAAAGGCATTTTAACGTTCATATGCGACTCAATTAAGGCACATTACGTCATATACCTATTTAATTTATTCTTCATGAGTCTTTGACATCACACAACACTCGGGGCATAGTTTTAATCGGAGAAACGAGTCTTTCATGCTTTTAAGAGCCGGAGACGAGTCAGAGTCAAAATTATGCTGAATTCTTGAAGATTCACCGCACTATAACACCAATAGAGTTTGGGAAACTTTCTTGTTTTCTTGATTCCACCATGTTAGGCTAGATTTTTCTTATAGTTAGGGTTGAATGGAACTCAAGAACCTTTGTGTTAATGAATTAATCCTTAATGTAATTTTCCCTTTTATATTAATGGATTTATCTTCTTTTAATATTTTCTATGAGTTTGATCTTGTAGGATGGTTCAGGGTAATTGTATGACAATAGGGATATTGGTATATGGACTATGCATGATAAATTCATCATAATCCTTATGATTCTTAGGATAGACATATAGGTGACAAAACGGGTCAACCCGCCTTCAATCCGCCAAAAGCGGGGCCGGGCAGGTTGACCCGCCGTTTGATGGTGAGGGGGTTGACAGGTCAACCTACCTAAAAAACAAAAATTTATTAAAAAATAATAATAAATTATATTTTAATAATTTTATAATATTACTTGTTTTTATTTCACACTCCCCTAATTTTTTTTTTCAATGTCAAGCCTAAATACAAGCTAATATTAAGTCATATATTTTTTAGAAACTTATTTTTGCCTCTATATATAGATAACCTTTGTCATAAATAAAGTTTTTTTTCTTTATTTTTCTAGGAGAGTACTAAAATAAAAAAAATGTATATCACAAAAGCTTAGTGACAAATAAAATATTACCTAATAGTAAAAAAAAAATTGATCTGGGGGTCAACCTGCCCCGACCCGCCACCAACCCATTTTGACCCACAACTAAACTGGGCGGGTTGAGGCGGTTGGTGGGTTGAAAGGTATAACCTAACCCGTCCTGTTTTGGCGGGTTGACCTGTCGGTTCAACTCATATTGCCACATCTAGATAGACATAGGGTTTTATGCAATCTTGCGATTTTTGTGTTTAATGCTTATTTTCTTGAGGAATAGCCAGGGAACTACGATTTTTTAAGATAATAAAGAATTAGGATGTCTAGGGATTGAGTTATAATTAACATAGGGGAATAATTGACAATATGAAAAAGGGCGAATAATTAGTAATTTTAATTCATAACATAAAGGGAAAATTGAGGGAAATCGAACCCCTAACTGTGCTTTATTGATTATAAAGTTACTCATATGTTGCGTTCTTGTTTTGTTATTTAATTTAGTTTTCATTAAATTATCTTGATCAATTGTCCAATTTAAGCGTAAATAATGAATTAGTGGTTGAAATCTACTTCTCGTGAAAACGATCTTACTCATACACTTTATATTACTTTTATAATCGATGCACTTGTTGAGTTCGAACAAATTTTTTAAATATTAAATTTTTATATGTTTTATAAAATAATTTTTATTTCAATTCTTTAACATTGTTCAATTAAAACTGTTTTCTTTGTTGTTAATGGATTTAGCATCGATCGGTTGACACTGTTTTTAACTAATCATTCCAATAATTCTCTTGATTATTTAAAAAATATCATTATCACTTAAGGTTTTGTATAAGAATTAAGAAACTCATTAAATATTTTTAATTTTAAGAAAATACAATTATATTTAATTAAAATAAATTACTCTTTCACTTCATTAATACTCTCACTTATTTTGCTTAATAGAAATAACT